TGGTCACAGCATTTTTTACAAGTGGGGTGGATTTTTCTGCCACTGTCAAAGGAAAAACATTTGGCCACTTGCTAGTCTAGCCAGAGCAGTCTGGTAGCCACGGTCACATTTGATTTCCAGTAGGGAGCCAGAGGATGTTCCTGTGTACCATTGGTGCATAGGTGGAATATGCCATATTATATTAAATTTAGATCTTTCATTTGAGTAAAGTATTATGCATTATGAAGTGAATTAACATTAATTTTGAGTTCTTTGGAAAGGATGTATCCACACGGCATAAAAACCTCCCCGTTTTTCATAAGGTTGGAAGCTATGATATGATAAGTTACAGAGAATAAAAATTTTAAATTGAAGTAATACTGTCAAATAAAAGATAAAAATAACTGGATAAGGTCAAAATATAGTTAAGGAATTAAGTTGCCAAGAATCTTGATTTTGATTTCACACAGTGTTTAAGTCTTGAGAATGTAACTTTGAAAAGATAAATAAAGAACTCTTTAAACATGCCAGCCTTTCAACAAATGATAAAATAAATGAAACTGAATAACCAAAAATGTCTTCTACTAACGGGAATTGTAAGAAATTTAATGTTGGATTGATATTGATGAAAAAACTCAAAAGTTACAGCAACAATGACAGAAGAATTTGCCTGTCGATTTCTGAAACAAATATCCGGAAACATTATGAATAGTTTCTTAAAAGAACTTTTGAGTGGTGTTTTCAGATAAATAGTTATCAATGCCTTTTTTGTAATTAAAATACTGTGTAATTAAGGATTTATATGTTTTTAATTACATTTAAATTAATTTTAAATTTATTGATAATTTGAAGGATATTTTTCATCGCTTAATATTATCATTCTGTTAAATCCTCATCTTGATTGGAAATTTTTTTCCCTGAATTTACAAAAAAGTATTTTTTTAATCATTAAAAATTAATATATCTGTTTTGAATCTGAAAATGCAAAATATTTTTGTCAGTAAGCATTTTTTTTGCTTTACTGGTGGTCATGTATGTGATATCCAGATTACTGAACTCCAGTTTCCTTGCAGTTTTTCCCCAGGCCTAAAAAAAAAAATACTCACTAATTTTATACATATCAAGTCTTGCTTTGAGATATTTAAGATAAATATCTGCATAAAAGGAATAATTTAAAATATGTAAAAAAATTTTAGAAAATGGTTTTACAACATTGCCATGTGTGTTCTTTCTTAGCTATCAGAGTTAAAAAATGCATTGAAATAATTTATTGCAGATTATTTTATTGCTTAGTTTATCCAAAAAAAGAAAAAGTCTTGGCTATGTTATTTGTTGTCCTCAGTCTCATCAAAAATATCTTGGCTGTATTATTCACTGCTGAAGGACTTCAGACTCTTGAATCCATCATAAAAGCTACATTCAATAATAAGTAAAAAAAAAGGCAAGTTACAGAAAATGCAAAATGAGTGTGTTTTCAATTCAAGGCAGAAAGTTTCATTATGGAAAATCTGATGTGGACATCACATGACTTCCTTGTACCGGCCTATTAAATTATACACATTTTTTGCTGCATTTATTTAAACATATTTCCTGAAATCTCATTAGAGATATATTTCTCATTCAGTCAGTTCAGTTCTCACTTCGCAGCAAGGCAGAAATACATAAAAACTGAAAACAGCTTTATTGTAAAGTACAGAAAACCATGAAATACAGTTAAAAACAGTCGAAAACAAATTTTGCAATTAAAATTAGAGTTTCTGCAAAAAAACATGCAGTTTGGCCCACGGGCAAGAAGACAGATTTTTCGGCCCACAAAACTGAAAGTTTACTTTTGGTCCCTCTCAGTAAAAATATGCTGAAGTTGATGTAGAAACGGACTTAATTTACTGTTCTATTGAGGGTTTCAAATGTAAACAAATGGTGGCTTCATTAAGCTTAATAGCACTTAAACTACTTTTAAATTGTTGATAATTTTACAACTGTTGCATGCAGATTAACTAAAGGCATAAAAATCTTAACCCACACATAATTCGATCACTTTTAAAGGGGGAAAATTCACAATTTGCCAACGTTGAGCTCACTGAGTCGGGTAACAGAACGGTTATAGTATATATATTTGGGGCAATTAATTGCAACCAAATAGGAAGCTGTACAACTGCATGTATTGCAATCCCATATACAAAATTTACCTACATACAGATGTCATGAAAAAAATCTCTTCTTATAATCCATTCTACAATACGTTTTGAGAAAGATAGTCCTTTATTCTGTCCTAACGTACAGATGTCGTGCAAAAACATGTTCAGATGGATTCAAGAGCAGTCAAAATAGATATTTTCTTTGAAATATGATACCCCAAATTTTTCCTGATTACAGTACTTCCTTTACTTCGTAAAAGGAAAGTAGGAAGTACTGTAATCACGAAAATTCTAAGCAAGAAATAGGATTATTTGCATCATCTCTTAGCAGTATTCAGAAATAGAAAAAATAATCAAGGAGATATAAAAGGCGGTGTAAGTAGCGATGAATTCATGTGCAAGGATGTAATTTTTCTCTTCGTCGTGCAGTATACAATGTGGATTGTTCAGACACAAAAATAGGCCAAACATGTGATGTTGACCTAAAGAGGGTTTATAGTCATGGGGAAACATAATCAAGCAGTATCTAACTGTATAAATCATTCTTTTTTCAGTCTTGCAATTTAAGCCATATGCAGATTTAGTACATTATGTTTTTACGTGTATGAGTTGGAATTCATTTCAAAATTACAACAAACAGTTTTTAATCGTAACTATATATCACTTTAAGTATCTTGAAATTTCAATAATTTCTTTATGCATTTTTCATAGATCAATAGAGCAACTATCCCATGTTACTGGGAAAATCAACCTGGAGGCTGTCGTAAACCTCACTGTGTATTCCTGCATCAGAAAGTCAGATCAAATATTCATAGTGTGGTTGAAAATCAAAAACGTAAGTGAAAAATTATGACATTGTTTTGAAATTTCTGTAACCAGTTTTTTGCCCTTCCTTTTAAAATTTATTATTAGGCAGCAAAATAAGTCCTGTATCCAAATATAATTTCTATGGAACACTCAATTATCTGATTTGACGAGAATTTCTTTTTTGAAATATTTATTGCTTAGTGAAATAAAATCATTATTAGACACATTTTATACTAATATTTTAAGTCTTGAATATTTTTCTTAAAAGGTGTGCAACTATAATTGTTATAGTTTGAAAACTTATCTTGTTTGATTCATTTTTGGAATTATAGAGCTGTGATAACTGCAAACAAAATATCCAGGGGTTTATCTATTTATTTATTTAAAAGAAAAGGTTAACTTGTATAATAGATCCTTGTGCACAAAATTTAAGATAAATCTTGCTTAAAATTACCTAGTAATTGAATAAATATTTTGTTTTGGAACTGTAACCGGATTTTATGTTTTAATTATTCTATGAATGCAGCTGTATTTAATATAATTTTTTTAACTTCTGCAAGCCAATACAAATTAATATATTTCCTTTGTTCTTGAAGTGATTTTACCTGTCTCTACGAATGTTCAGACAGTTACTATTACTAAAGTACTGGAAACAAAAGATCCAGCAAAAAATGATGAAATTACAGTGGAAGGTGTATCAAATGGTACAGAAGACAGAAACTTGAATCCATCTTCTCAACCAGTTGAGCCTTTTGTTGTTACATTTGACGAATGTGAAGGCAAGTATTTTCAGATTTCTGAAGTGCAATTATGTAGGGGAAATATTGTATAATTTTTCCTTAAAAATTTTGATTTCTTACATTGCACAAGGTGATAAAAAATTTTAAAATTTGAAGTAATTTCAGCTGTGTAGAGTTTTTGCTGAAGGAATTTCAGCTGGGTAGTAATGTATATTGTAATCATTTTCAAGAACTTTACTTTGAATACGTAATGAATGTATGGTATAGCCTTGTCCAAAATTTTGAAAAATAAATATTATATTTACTTTAAAATAAGACCCCTTTTGTGCTATATTTTTGTTTTATGATTTTTCAGGATCTTATAATTGGGTATTTTATGAATGAAATTGCAGAAACAGTGGAAAGATACCATACTGTATAAATAATTATGCTGTTTAAATGTTGAATAAGTCATGCATTCAGTTACTGTATACATAGTCTATATAGCTCTGGCTAATTATAATAATTATGCCTGTTTAGGAGATTTCAATTCAGGCCTTCATCCGTTAAACTGGTATGCGTGAAAACAGATGAATAATAATCATTCATCATTAATTTTTCTGTATATACCGTATTAATATATTGTATATTATTAAGTAGCTTGCCTTTTATTCTAATCAGAACTATGCCGTTATCAAATAAATATTCGCTTATATTTCTGTTTCTTAAAATATATTTTTAAACATAAGGGGGGAAGGTTTTATTTTCTGATAAGTACAGTAAATAGCTATTAAGTTACAAAATAGGCATTAATTGAGCATAGTAAATTATAGCAGACCCAAAATACTGAATACTGTCTTTGTAAGGTAATCCTGACCATTAGCCTATGTATATGCAGTTTGGAGTAATATTTCTGTGCTTTAATAGTGCTTCATAAGTGTAATATTTATTGACCTTGTTTATCTACGCAGTAATATACACTAATTGAATCAACGAACGGCGCTGCCTACCCATCTAACTATGAATCTAATGACACAGCTAAATTTCTGCAAGTGGTGGTTCATTTATAATTCTGTAGGAAGCTTTGTTCTATCCAGAAATATGGTGAACATGAACTTATTTCCTAGGTGGCTGTCTAGAGGCTTGAAATGACAAGTCGGACTTATGATTAACTTGAATGTTTAATGGAAACACGAATAGCTGCTACAAACTATAAGGTGATTACATATGAATAGCGCAATAGATGAGACTATTTACAGATGAAGAGAATTAACCATCTTTTACATATACACGTCTTTGGATATCGTCATCCCGTTCTTACCAACGTCCTTCTGCGAATGATTGCGCAGTTCACTTTCTCTTAGCACTCGGGAGTCCAAAGGTCCTTTCTCCTACGACTTAGCTCTATGTCTACTCGATGACGTATTCCCATAATTCTATGATCAAAATACTCAATCTAGTTTTAAAGGGATTTATTAAAATACTAAACAAATTAATCTAATCTAGAATCAAATCTAATGTTACATCTCATGAGCAGCATTCCATTTGCGTCATAACAAATCGAAAGTCAAGTTCTCACTGTTGCCATTCCGAGGCAGAGAAAAGTTCTAATCAAACCGGAACATCGGCAGAGGAAAGTCTCTAGTCAAACCAGAACAGACCTGAAGCATATTACTTGCTGATAAAAAAAAGGCAATCACTGCTCTTCATAAACTCCATAAAATGATGTTCCTCATTCAGCATGAGTGAAAAGGGACCAAAAAGCTATACATGTACAATCCATTACTTTTGAGAAGATGTGAGGAACAAATTATGATGTGCTATCCAGTGTCAGGAAAACATGGCTGGCTTTACATGTTATGAATTCCAGTGTACTTGCTGTTTAGGTTAGATTGTGCCCAAAATGAATGCTTCAGATTCAAGATGACTTCTTTTCGGAGCAGCCAAGCATTGATGATTTGAAGCTGAACAACACTAACAATTTTAACAAATGCAACTATCGTAAATTGCACTATCTGACAGTAGTACTTAAATTATCATATTATCTCTGATAAATAAACATTTTAATAATTTTGATATGTGTGAAGTTTAAAATGAATTTTATGCTCCCTCTGTTAGATGCTATGTCATGGTATTTTTTTGCTAAGGCCATGCATTTTTAATGGCATTTTGTTGCATTTTGCCTTATTTCTTTCTCCATACATACCAGACAAAGTAGAGTTATTGGGAATAGCAAAAGTGGAACATACTGTAATTTCCTGACAAAATCCTTCGAAAACTTTTACTGTGGGAAGAATAAAGGTTATATAATTTTTCTTTTTGTAAATAAGCTTTCTTTCATGAATTTCTGCAGTTTTTTGCACCCATCAATTCTAATCTTTGAACAACATAACAAGGAATTAGCACATATCTCTCTCTCACAATAATTCCACTTAGTTATTGTGTTGTAACTCATTTGGAGCAAGCTTTTGTTTAAAATTCGTTAAGTAAACAGATATTCTTGAAATCATAAGTAAATGCAATAACAAATGGAATGTGCAATTCAAAAAACAACATTTATATAGGAACACCTTTTATTCATGGCAAGAACGAATGCATACACCATTTTTTGGTTATATTTTAATACTGTAGTGTGATATATCAAACATGATTTTTTCTTCGTGAAGAATGTTTCTTTTTCAAAATACAGGATATTTCTTATACTTCCCTTGGCAAATCAAATCAAGTCATTTTATAGCTTTAACTGAGAAGTACAAATTTTACTTCCACATTTTTCTTGAAATCCATGTCTTGTGTAGTTTTCAGCCATTTTTTTATTTACTCAGATGAGTAATATTGTTGTGCTGGTTATGTGTTATTTACTGGGTAATGTACTTGAACATACATACTGAAAATGTGGATGAAAGTCTTATAAAATCTTAAGGGAATGTTATTCAGATAAGTGTTGATTAGTTGCTTAAAAGTTTTAAATTCATTTTTATTAAAATCAGCAGTATATTATTTTAACATCCAAACAGTTTTAAGTGGAAGGAGAAAATAAAATGGCAAAAAAAGTGATTATTTTAGTTGAAAGTACTTTGTTTTGCATGGATAACATTTCTTTCTTCAATAACAACAACAGGAAAAAAAAAAAGCTTAAAAAATGTAAATTGATTTCTTCTTCTAGTCTAAATTTTTTATTATTATTATTTCTTTTTTAGAATCTGATAGTGAATCTGTTTCAAGTACACCAGTGAAGCTCTCTTTTTCAGAAACAAAATACATGCGATCCAGTTCATGTAAGCTTAATCTTTCTTCAACATTTTCAGGTAAGTTTTTTTTTCATTTTTGTAAAGTAAAAGGAGTTGCTAAATTTGAATGTATGAGCTAAATATATTTAAGACTGAGAAAAAAATGTATTTTTAAATAACATTTATGGAAGATAGTAGTGAATTACATGGGGACAAAAACCCATCATTTATTTACAGTATATAAGTCTTAACAGTGTCTTAATAGTGATCAATATTAGACTACTTCTACAAGAATTCTGTTGTTAAATTTCATTTCTAAAATAATATAGCAATTAAAACAACAACAATGAAAAAACGCAAGAAAATTCACTATGATGCTATTAAATTCTTTAAGGACAAAAAGGTTAACCCCTGCATTAATAGCATTTCTTAGGCTTGTCTCTTTAAGAGTGGTGAGCAGATTTTTGAAGCTGTCTAAACACATCTAGACAGCTTTAGGTCATAATTCAGCATCCAATTGGGAGGTAAAAAATGTCATCTGTTTTGATAGTTTACTTGGCTAACATATTTTAATATTGACAGTTGAAAAATGTCTAGAAGTACTAGATGAAAGTTATTTATTCATAATGTAGAAGTATGGAAATGTTTATGTCATATACAAATTAGATTGCATTTTAATAGTAATAACTCTGTTTCTGATTTTTTTAGTATATTGTTTGTAATGTAATTTATAAATTATTATATTTACTCTAGCGAAATCTGAAGAAAGAGATTTGGGAATTAAAACATTGGAACAAATACGTATGGAAAAGATTCACAAAGAATCGGAACATTTTTATAAATCTGGTAAGATTTTATGTAAAATAAATGTTTTGCCTATTTGTTGTTTTTTACTTAACTGTAAATATATAGTTTTAATCCAATAAATATATAATTCACTTTATGTTTTTTTGTATAACTCTAGTTAATGTTTTAATAGGTCATATAGTAAATCGCACTTCCTTGAATAGTAATTAGAAGTGATGGCAAAAGTGGCATATTTGAGGCATATAATTTTATGACATATATGCATAAAAAGTTAATGCTTAATTAGTAAAGCATGCATCATATGTAATTACTAATAATACTGCATGCAGGATAAGTGGTTAGTTTATAAATTTGTCTTAGGATTAGAGCAGAAAGATAAGGAAGTTTCATATTTCAGTATGATTAAGTAAACCTTTCAGGATGAAATATTTAAAAAATATCAGTACTGAAAGACTATGAAATTTTGCATTTCAGGTATGAACAAAAATGTGTCATACATTGACGAACAGAAAAAACTAATTTAAATAGAGGAATGAGGTAGGATGAGATCATAAGCATCTGATCTATACCGTAATTTATTTAGCAGGCTGAGTTGTGCATTCATCTTGTCATCAAATACTGTGTCAGTTTCAATCACGAACATGAACATCTCCTTGAATGGTATCCAGAAGTCATAGTTTTCGTCCTGTGTCATTAATTGTAAGTGAATTTTGAGGTGGACATATTTATGTGCCCTTTATTTGTATGTAGGCACAATAATGACAAGGAGCCATGTCTTATCTGAGATATAAATTCAGTTACATAGTTGGTATGATCATCATCAGAAGACAATGAAAAAGGTCAGGCAGTTGTTGATTTTGTTGAAGTGACTGGAAATAGGGGGAATTTAATCACATTTGCATATTAAGGCATTCAATTCAAAATAAAATAATATAAAAATAAAAAAGGCTGAAAAAAGTTGTAATTTTTTTTAAGTACAATAAATAGTACTAGAATTTTTTTTTTTTTTTTAATTTTATTTTCAGATTACAGATCAAATTGGCAAATGTGCTAATTGTAATAGCTAGAAATTTTTAAAATTAAAGATATTCATGCCTGTAATAGAGCTGTCTGTATGTAATTTTTGAACTTGAAAGGGAAACAAAACATGTATGATGACTGTAATCTTCCAGGCTTATGCTGTATCCTTTGCATACAGCCCACCAGCGGCCGAGCGGTAAAGTCGCTGAACACTGGTAGTTCGGTCCGAGGTTCGAATCCCATGAACAGGCTGGCTGCATGGGCAATTCGTGGTTTTCCCCATGTGTTACGTGTATATGAGCGAGTTTCCCTTAGAAAGTTCTCCACGAAGGCATCCCTCCCCTTAGGCAGATAGCCCTAGTGTGCTTTGCCATAATTAAATAAACCAAACCTTTGTATACAAATGGCCATTATTCTGGAATGGTCGTAATTCATTTTTTAGTTGTGTAAATTATTGTATAGGGTTATGTTTTTCATGTAAATAATTAGCCACATAAAATATCTGACAGTTATTGGCATATTTAATGGAAAATTTGCTGTGATTCATTAAAATTGTCTCCTGTTGTATAGATATTAGATAATTAAAGAATTTGATAGATAAGGACAATATTTGTTAAGCTCTTATATTAAATAAGTTGGTATTTATATCTAATACAATTTTAATCAAAATAAGCTTTACTTTTTGTGTGTATGTGAAAAAAAGGACATGCAAATTAATGTGCATGTCCTTTGCAGATGATTCTTCTGGTAAAGTAAATGCCAATAAAACTGTTGAGGTTAGCAAAAAGGCTTCTTTGCTCAACAATACAAACTTTTGCTACTCAGGTTAGTAAAGGCTTTTCTAAATTTAATGTATGTTTTTGATATTTTTGTGTTCTTGAAACATGCTTTTTAAATAAGGTATAGTGTGTAAAGGTGCTTACAATAAGATTGAATTCAATTTTTGAACTGTTTGATTTGAATCATCATATTTATTATTTTGATTCATTTTATTAAGTTCATTAATTAATTTTAATAATGAATAGATTAAATGTTTTAATTGAAGCTGCTTGTGGATTATCTGTAAATGGGGGCTATGATTGAGGCTAGAAATAATGTTTACTTTCAAATAAATAATTTCTCTTCTGCTGAAAAACATTTTCATAACTTTTGGCCTGTAACACAACCAGATAAGGAATTGAAATTTAGCGCTGTGACATTAGACCTAAAAATAAAGATTTGAAAATCTGTGCAGTAGCTAAATATGATCTTGCTTGATGAACTCTTTTGTCTCTGGAATTAAATAGATTTAAACAGAAGAGCTAGCTCATTCATTTGTGCAACTCCTCGCTGACACAATCCTCATAGGAGGGGGTCAACAGGAAGTAGTCTGATGTCACTGTGTTGCATCTGCTCTGACCTTTGCCTATTTAAAACTAGCAATGTTGACATTTCAAATTAATTTTAATCACATATACTGTACTTTTTTTTTTTTTTTAATCGAGCAGTGGGTACTTGCTTTTTTTTTTTCAGCATTGGCCACTCCTAAGGCCGAAAGTGATGGCCATTTTATTGTGGAAGCACTTAATAGGCGGCCACTGTTACCTCCTATGAGGGAACAGACAATTTACATCCATAATTTCTCCTGGATTTGAACCGGGGTCCTTCAGTATCGCTGTCAGATCCCCTAACCACTATACCTCTTGGGCAGCCTGTATTGTTTTCTAGTAAAATAGTGTCAAAGTCAGACTGGCGGCCCACGTTCTGCATGCGACTCTCGAAGTAATTTTATGCTGCCTATGAAGGCATTTCCCTTAAATTAATTAGTGTTACTATGACAAGAATTTGAAAAAAAAAAAAAAAAAAAGCATAAGATTTTAATGGTCTGGAGTCCAGTTTTATGCTATATTCATTACCAAAAATGATTGTATCTCTTCGGGAAATCTAGAAATACAGCTAATTAATTTACACTGTGATATAAATCTTGTTTAAAGAGTTTAATATGCAGATTTGATTAACTTTTATTAACACTTGTCAAGAGTTATATCTTAAGTTACGAATTTTAGCAATAAGAATACTCATCTTGTTTTTGAGTGCATTTACATAAGAACAGTGCTCCCACCCCAGGGTTGAAAATTAATAAGTCTATGAAAAGAACCAGACTGATGATGAATATCTACAATTTGTGATGACACTTTTTAATAATTTCCCTTCAAGATTACAAACTTCATGAAAATCAAATCATCATGAGGTGGTGTAGACAAAGATGTTTACAATAATTTACATACAAATATTATTTTTTCTGTTTTGTGTCATAGAAAAATCTGAGAAATAAAAGAAAGAAACTAGGTTGTCATTATTTACTCTCAGGTTTTGTTCCTCTTGGAAATCTTTACATATATTCTTTTTAGTTTAAATTAAAAGTAAGTAACTTAGTAGTTCAATGTATTACTATTTAGTTCAATAAATTCCAGTCTGAAAATTTTGATATTTAGACGTCTGTTTGAATTCCAAATAGTGGCCAACAGAAATTTGTTGCAGATGCCAACTTTTAAATTTCAAACAAAATATAAGTATAAATTTGATATTTTTTTGTGTTACTTTTATTCATATGTTTTTACTGATATCTAGTAAAACAGTTTTAATTTGATTAACAAATATTGTTTTGTTAAAAAAATAAATCCCACTCTTTTTAGCCCAGAAGGGCTATTAATTTCGTTTTGGCATTTTTGGCCTTTCACTATAAACAAAGTTTCACTTTTCAAATTGTTACCACCAGATATTATCGCCCTGTATTATATTTAAAGGAATTAAATAATGAAGAATCTGCATAAATGTATGTATGTTTCTCGCATTGTGATAAAACAACGGTGCCTAGATACATCAAATTTTTAATACCGTAATCTTTCATTGAATATGGGCATCTGGAAGCCCAAATATGGAATTTGATTTATTGCCTGTTTCAGATTTGGCAAAGCATTTATGAATTTTTAAGAATCTCGGCGATTTCAAAGCGAGCAATTGCAACACTCTACCAGGGGGGGGGAATCTCCAGCAGACAAGACTGTGCGATGGAAATTCTGAAGATATGCTCTTTTTAAATTATTTTGTGATATTGCTCTTGAATTTAATTTCATGATTTAAGTGCTATTGAATAAGTAAACATGATATTGAATAAACTGAATATTAGAACATAATACTGAATAAATAAAAGTAACACACAAAACGTTAAAACAAAACCTTTTGAGCATAATATAAAAATCTGAACAATTTTCAGGTGTTTATTATTATTATTATTATTGTTGTTGTTGTCAGTTGTGTCACTTTCAAATTGTGCATTGGCTCATGTGCAATGAAATTTTGAGACCACTGCTGTTTAAATCATTGTTTATGTAATATGTCTTCTTGCGTTACAGCAATGTACCATAAAATTCATGGAAATGAGGGGGATTGTGATAATGTATTTCATATTTTTCCAAATTTGCTTTTGGCAAAAAAATTAAATTAAATTATATAAAAAAAATAGATACTTGTGTCGAAGACAGGATTCTGTTAATGTGAAGAACAAAAGAATTTGCAGCGAACATTTTCTCTGCTGTGATTGTGGAGATGACGTGAAAAACCGCTTGCTTATATTGCCGCAAAAGTAACTGCTAAAATCAAATACTGAAAGACTACACGAATTAAATTTGAAGGGGGAATAAAAAAATCTGTAAGCTTTAAGATTTTATGTTACGCCCAAAGGGACATTTTAATCTTTAGAATTTCCGATACGCACGCAGTCTCCCGAGCTGGAGATAATCCCCCCAGTACAGTATCGTCATTACTCGCTTTGAAATCGTTGCGTTTGTTAATAAAAAATTGGTTGAAGTGTGGCAAAATATGAAATCGATAATGAAACAAATTCCAAATTTGGGCTTCCGGGTGCTCATATTCGGTGGAAGATTGCATTATTTAAAATTTGATAGCTCTAGATACCATTATTTTATTACAATGCGAGAAACACATATATACATTTATGCAGATTCTTCTTTAACACAGGTCAATAATATGTGGTGGGAAAATTTAAAAAGTGAACCAACATTTATAGTGAACCAGTGCAAAATGCCAAAACGAAATCAATAGCTCTTCTATGCTAAAAATTCATTTTGAGGCCAATTACAAAAATTATGATAGAAATAATAAATCAGATACAAATGATTTTAACTCGCAAATGATTATGTAAATAATTGCTGAATGCCTTAACTTCAAAAATAAACAAGAATGCATTGATAATTTGTAAAGAATAAAGCTAGCTCAGCATTTTAGCTAATTTGTAATTATATAAAATGTCAAAGTAATTACGCATAAAAAAGATCTTCTTCCTTTGCTCCTTGTTTTAAAGAGTAACTAATTCTCTTTAGATATTGAGAGCAAAGTTGTTTTACTGAACTTAAGATAACGATCTTGTATTTATTTAAATGTAATGTAATGCTTGTGTATAAATGTCAGTTAGACAATTATATTTACAAAAAGTGTTATTACATCAAAGTGGAAGAGATGCATGCCAATGGTAAAATTTATAATTAGATTTAAAAAGCTATGTTAGATTTGATTAACTTTTGAATAAAACTATCGATTTCAAGTGCAGTCGAAACTAAGTTACTCTTTTTTAACTGCAGGGGAAAAAAATTCACTTATATATACAAACTAAGGTCCCTCCCCCCCACCTTTAAAAAGCTGTTATTGTAGTTATCTTGGAAAGAGTCATAGAGCTCCCCCACTTAGTTTACAGATAAAGAAATGATAATGAATGCCACAATTTTTTTCTTAATGATTTAAAAATAAATGCACAGGAAGGAAAATATGCAACTTTTAAGAAAATATAGTGTATTTTATCTATTATTTTTTAACTAATAAATAAGTGTTATTTCATTTCTTCTGAATTATAGCTATTTTTTCATGCTCAATTTTTTTAGGGCTGTTTTTTTCAAATTTAAAAGTTTATTTCTTTGCTGCGAAATTGGGTACTTGCAATCAGTGTCAACATGACTACGTCGTCACTCCTCACTACCTGTTTTGGGGGATGGGCTCAATGAACTACCCCATCTCTTCTAAGTCCTTTCAAGTAGTAGATTATCTGTACCAGAAACAAAAAAGCTATACATTTTATACAGTAATATAAATATTTGTTGGAAAAGAACTTTTGCTAAATCATCTGCATATTTGTCTTTTTTTTCTCCCAAATTGTAGGCTGAGTAATTACTGTTCAACACATTCTAGCAGTTCAAAATTGTGGAAACAGTTAATTTTTTCACATATGATTTAAAATTAATGTATTGTGAAAGAAAGCATATGTGTGCTATCATCAATAAATTGTAGCAAAAATTTAAGCCAGTTGTGAAGAGAAATCAAGTCTAAGAGCAGTCTCAAATTGCATTTGATATTAATGTCAAACTAAAACTCATGTTTCCTAAATTTTCAAAATTTAAAGCGTATATTTAGTTTTTTCTTGGTATTTTTTTTAAAGAAAAATTAAATTAGCATTTGTTTAAATAGAATTTTTTATTAAAGGATATAATGATAGTTTTGTGCAAGAGCAATTATCTGAAATTTATAAAAAGAGTATTATTGTTCTAATTAAAGCATATTTTTGTTGGAACAATTGTACTCTGATTGTTCTGTGGAATAAAAACCTAATGATGATTATTCAGTTTTTAAGATTAAAAGTAAGAATATTTTACTTTGTTTTTAGAGTGTTTATGAATTGTTAAAAAAAATAAAAAATTATAATTAAAGAAAAAATCTGAACATTTTCAGATTTTAAATTACAACCAAAGGGGTGGGGTTTTTTTTCCCCATTTTGTGTGTTAAAGTCAAAAGTCCGGACTCGTCAGGACTTTGGCGATTCCGGATTATCGATTTTTCCAGATTATATATCATCAGTTTAAGTCTGGTAAGATGGCATGCAGAAATTATAAAATTAAAAATATGAAACCGTAATTTATGAAATAAAGAGCAATTATGATCTAAAGGGTATAAAAATTTACAAAAAAAGAAAAAGCTTAATATTTATGTGTTTACTTTATTAAACGTTTCTTTCAACACGCGCGTGCGTAAAGCATACATTACGCATGGTCGAAATTAGAAAATTGCAACCAGAAAACTATATGATTTGTATTCGTGATATTTATAATGACGAGGAATTTGATTTAAATCATATCAAAGACTTAGTACATCGGGATGAAATTACATTATAAGCCGAATAAAATAAAAACATCTGCCATGAAGATAAGGATAGTGCTGACAGATCAACTTCCAGTTCATTGCGTGGCACAACGTCACCCCTCCTTGCAGAACAGCGTGAAATTGATAAACAGATTTCAGAATGGTTAGAGAAACAAAGGAGACATTATCCATTTTTTGTAGCAATTCCACTTTTTGTTTGATGGACATCGAAACATGCTTTCCCTTTGTAGATCCAGCATCGAAAATTCTATTTGACATAATCGAAAGTTCCAACTTTTATAAAATTGCTCTAACAGTCTGCAAAAAATAATAAGCAGGATCCAATTCGAAGATTAAGGAACAACGCAATCTGCAACATTAACTGAAATAGATAATTAGATAATTTTAGCTTAGCTTATACCGTCCGTTATACATTAAACGAGCAATGCACAGAAATGCATGACGCATGCACAGAAAGTTTGTAGCTTTGTGGTTCGGATTAACGACTTTTGACTGTACCTTTATTTATTAAATATCATGTTCTTCACACTTAACCCATAAAATTCAGTTCAACAGCAATATTGCAAAATAATTTTAAAATTAGCATATCTTTAGAATTTTCGATACAGAGTCTCCTGTGCTGGAGATAAATTTTTTCTTCCTGTACAGTGTTGCCATTGCTCGCTTTGAAATTGTTTAGTTTGTTAAAGAAAAATTGATTGGAAGTGGTACAAAATATGAAATCAATAATAAAACAAATTTCAAATTAGGGCTTTTGATGGCTCTGGGTACTGTTGTTTTATAACAGTGCAAGAAACATACAGACATTCATGCAGATTCTTCATTATTTACTTTCTTTAAATATAATACAGGGAGATAACATTTGGTGGCAACAATTTGAAAAGTGAAAAATCGCTTATCGTGTATTGACGCAAAATGCAGAAACAAAATTAATAGTCCTTCTGGACAAATTGCCTCTTTGGACTTTAAAACCCTGTTTTTTAATTTCATATTCTCCTTCTCCCTTCCTAGTTAAGAACTATTCTAATTCCTTTATTGAAATGTGTAAAAATGTTTCCAGTACATAAATCATTGATATGGCTGTTAATAATGGCTTGTGAAGTTTTAAACTCTTTACGACTAATAATATAGAAGTCTGTTAAAATCTCTCTGCATATTGTTTCTAATTCTAAACACTCTTTGATTTGAAATTTATATTGAAGAAATTTCGGTACTCTTCTGTTTTGAGGGCCGTAAAAAAATTGCAGCGAAAATGTATGCGCAAAAGCACCAAATCTAGCAAACATGCCCATTTAACAGCGCGCCAAATCTAGCGTATGCGCTGGTTTCAGATTGCTTAAGTTTATATAGTTCTATATTTCTTAAGACGCCATTGAAATACTAGTTTAATTTTTAAATCCTTTTTTGATATCCTATGGATTTAACAATTTGGGAATTGCCCATGATGAAAAGTCGGCAATAGAATTTTGGGTAAAGTGCAGAATCACACACTGCTTGATGCACATCGACCTATTTTCACTTTAAAAACAATCCCAGAATTGCACAAAAATGGCACTGCGCACCCCCTTGACTTTATCTATGTACACATCGACCTATTTTCATTTAAAAAGTAAAATAAAATTGACAAAAATCCAGTTGTTTTTACCCTTGTAAAAAAGTGAGTGATTCTGCACTTCTGAATTCCGATTCTGAATATTTTCAAAAAAAAGGCATCATTCATTATAGAAAATTACATTTGAACAACCAACGAGATGAAATTATGCTTTAGTGATAAGTCGGTAGCAAAATGGTGATGCAGGCATCCATACAAGCAATTTTTATATAAATTATAATAATGATCTGAAATAGTTATTTACTCTTATGCTTCCATTCAGTCATGATTAACCTTTTTCATGTAAATTATAATAATAAAAAAGTATTATATGAAATTAACCTTTCATCTAAATTAAAACATCAATCTTAGATAGTTATTTACTATTATACTTCCTTTTCAAGCCACAATTATTTTTGGCAGCATTGGCATCAACAATAGTTTGGCGATTTTTTACAGCCCTCAAAACCGAATAGTACTGAAATTTTTTGTATTTCAAAAAAAGTTGAGCAGTTTAAATTATTAAAAATTTCTATATGTTAGTTGATTGATGGTGGATAAATTTATAATTAAAGGTTGACATATATTCTGATTGTGGTCGTATATTTGAATATTCTAATTTTAATAGTTTAAAATACTTAAATATGTATATTCAGGTTTCAATATTACTAAATATGTACATTTGAGAATAAAAAAATACAATGTTTACTTTCTTGTTTTGCAGCATATGATATTCCAGCATTAGATCCGTCTCATATAAAAATTAAACCGGATATTAGTCCATACAGTAAGCAAGAATGTTATCCACCAGGTAATATATTATTTCTATTTTATTTTGATTTTTAAAACTCGTACACTAAAAATCTAAAAATGCTTCCCTGCCTAGTAGTTTTCTAATCCTTAAAGGTTTTAACTATCACTTTAACAAATATATGTTGTGAAAACAAACAGTAAATAAAACATGAGTAAAAATACAGGGTTATCCAAATTAAACTTCCCCAACTCAGAGGCCTGTGCAAAGTGTTGTATGGGTCATAATGTGATGAAATTTTAAAAACAGACACTTCAGATCGTACGCTCGAGATTTATTAAACAAACACAAAAAAAAAAAAAAAAATTAGTGCAAGAAGTTGCCAATAGGTGGCATGCAGATCAACATGACATTCTACAGATGTTCTATATGTGTGCCATGGTTCTCCACAACTCTTTCCATTCGCAAAGCAGTGTGTTCCACAGTGGAACCCAGTAAGTCCACATTAATTCCACGAACATGTTGAATAATTGCGTCTTTCAGATGTGCCAAGGTTGCTGGGTGTTCTCGGTAGACCCGATCCTTTAAGAATCCCCATAACCAAAAGTCGCGTGGCGTGAGATCAGGCGAGCGGGGGCCAAGCTGTAGGGAAACAGTGACTGATCACACGTGCATCGGTAAAAGTTGCCCGTAACACCTGTTGAACGCCATGAAGAATATGGGGAGGTGCACCATCCTGCATAAATATCATGTCCTGGAGGCCGCCACATTGTTGCAGTTCAGGGATCACAAACGTTGTCAACATGTCCTGATACCATTTTCCTGTGACAGAGCAGGCTTTGAACCCTGTTGGAGTCACCTCTTCAAAAAAATAAGGCCCAATGATGAATGTTGCAGTGAAACCGAACCATACAGTAACCTTTGGAGGGTTCAAGGGCATTTTGATGAATTGCGCACGGGTTTTCACTTGCCCAAATGCGGCAGTTGTACATATTCACTTGACCATTCAGGTGAAAATGGGCCTCATCTGCCCAAAGGATGTTCCACGGCCCAGCAGCATCGACTTGCATTCTGGCAAGGAACTGCAACACAAATGTTTCCCGAACTACAGGATCCCCGTTGGACAGCTGATGACGACTATGGATTTTGTAAGGAAAATAACCGAGGATTCAACGCATCACACACCAGACAGTCGTATAGGGCATATCAACAGCGCGAGACACTGACTGTGGCGATTGGCTAGTGGGGTCCACGCCCGCCAAAGCAACATCTTCTATGCGTGCAGATTCCACAACCTGTCGTCCTCTACCTGGTAAAATTCCCAGCTGTCCCGTTCTTTTGAACTTCTTCATCATGTCTCATAGAGCACGTGGTGTCATTGGTCTTCGGCATAAGATCTTCAGCCGACGGAATGCTCTTATCGCAGAAGAGTTCTCGTTATTCTGGTAGAAAAGTTTCACTAACAGAGCTTTGTCTTTCAAAGTCGCCATTGTACATCAGCGAGCTGGAAGCAACTGCCTGTGCAAGGCCTGTCTTCCACTTTTGTAGGGCTCGTCTTTCGGATACGTTGCGCAGAAGCTTTATTTCTGCAAATCACGTTGCTGCAATATGCTTATTACTAGTGTTACAGCGCCGCCTAACGGCAATTTCTTGTATTAATTTTTTTGTGTAATAAATCTCGAGTGCATGATCTGAAGTGTCTGTTTTTAAAATTTTCATCACACTATGACCGATACAACACTCTGAACAGGCCTCTGAGTTGGGAAAGTTTAATTTGGATAATAACCCTGTATATATTTAGCAAATAAATACTGTTCAAGTATTGTTCTTCAAGAGCAAGTCCAAAAAGTCATGCCACTAAGTGGGTTAAATGTCTTATTCTGTACTTAATTCTGGATAGCATTTGGAATCCTGCAGTGTCTTTTTTTAATAGTTTTGATGAATTGTAGATTATGTAAAGAATATTTTTGAATTTTTCTTTTTAAGTAATGGGCCTTTGTTATTTATTTGTTTATTTTTCATTTGACTGTTTGCATGAGCATAATAAATTGTGTTTTATACATATCTGTTTTAAATTTTTAATTATGAACTTATCTTTTTACCCATTTTCTTTACAACTTTTTTTGTTAACTACTGTATAGTGTACTCATCGATTATTAGTTATTTTTTTTACCTGTGTGGTAATAAATTGTTCCTCTTTAGATACTGGATCAGCAGCTACTGTTAATGATTCTGCATTACATGCAACTGAATCTGAAAGTATGCTCATAAAAGTTATTTATGTTTATACTTGTGATGTTTCTAATCGCTAATTTATTTTTATCCATAATTATGTACTTTTTTTTTTTTTCATATTTAGGAGATTTAAGAGGCAGGTTGCTAAAAAAAAGGGCAATGCCCTCAAGTGCTGAAAAATCTGCATTGCCTTTAAGTGCTGAAAAACGTACAATACCTTCAAGTGCTGAAAAACGTGCAGCTCCCTCAAGTCTCGAAAAAGGTTTATTATTAAAATATTGTATTCTTATTTTTGTGCACATTTGATGTAGCCCTTAATATATGCTATTAATGTTTAGCAAGACTTTGCATTATTTCCATTATGTATTAAGAATGTTGCTATATTTGCAATTTTGGCTGGCTAGAATTACTTTTTGATTTCCTTTCTTTTTTGGAATAAAGATAAGAGAAATGAAACTATTTTACATTTTTATGTAACGTTTAGGAATAAATTTAACTTTTCCCCTCAACATTTTTTTAGGTTTAAATGGAATGCCATGGTATTATTCTGATGCTTATCTATATTGAAATATTATTTTATCTTTGGTATCAATTTTATCAGTATTTGGGGTATTATTTTTTGTAGTAATAAAGCAATCTGATTTTATGGCTTATCATGTATATTCTTCATTAGAATGAATGAATAGAACTCGCCCTTAGATTAAAGTGACCAGATTTTAACATTGTTAAAGCGGGACACAATTGACCGGGGGGGGATTCTTGATTAAAAATTTGATCTATATGGAGCAACACAAATTTTCATAGAACGCAAAAATAGTATTGTAATACATATTTTTTTAATTCCAACATAAGTACATTTTACAAATATAATACATTAAAAAATTACGTATATTATTATTTTATTCTTTGACATATTTCTCATTTCAGTGACTTCTTTTATTAGATTGCTGTCTTTTTTTTTTTTTTTTTTTTTTTTTTTGTTGAATAACTTTTGAACAACTTGTGGTGTACAAGATCTGAAGGAATGATTGTGATTATTAGCATGAAAAGACATAAGTCCTTCTGCTAATGCTAATTTCTTTTCTTTGCCTCCATAAATTGTTTTCCAAAAGAACTCCTGCATTTTGGAGGAAGATGCAGTAGTATTTAAATATCTTTTATGTTTCTGTGTCCCTGAGTGCTTTGAAATATCATTCTTCCAGCCTGGCGAAATTGAAAATTCACCATTACATTTCTCACATTTTACCGTGTGATCGCTTTTTTAACAAAAGGAAATTCCCTTCTCAAATCATCTTTGAATTTGCATCTTCTGTTCTTCCTTATTATGTTAAAAATCTAAAGAAGTAATTTATTATAAATTTTTATCTATATATATTGCTTTAAAACACAGAAAGTAGGTACATAATTACATGAACATATTTTATTGTTAGTTTAAAAATTAAATTAATTTGTTTGTTATAAAGTAACTATATTTTAAAAATTATTTAAATTTTAATCCTGTAATTCTTTCTAAATAATATCAGTATTAACTTGTATTATTTTTCCTCTGAATTTGCCATAACGTCAGTTGTAAGCATCACTTTCAAGACTGACGCTAGACCTTTTGCCTCCACTATACAATATAAATAATAAAAGTACTGTCTGCTAAATTCAAGAAAATTTATGTGTTTGTGAAATAAATAAATAAATTACGTACCTAAATTATCTGAATAGCTGATTTGTTGACATCACTTGTTTAACTAGCGCTAGCACGTAGTACGATGTGTATCGTCTGAGAGACAGTTACAAAATGTTTTTGCCAATGCCAAAAAATGCCATTAAGTCCAAACAACAGTGTTTGAATTCTAACAACTGATCAATAATGTGAACTTTGATAAGCAGTTATCGATAATCAGCTGTCAACAATTATTTGTTATTATTAAAATTTAACTTTATAAAATTAACAAAAAGAGCATAAGACACATATCTGGCAAAGTAGCCACATGGCCACCGAAACTGTATTCTCCTGCTGTTCCCTAGCTTATCGTGCATTCTTTCCAAAAATCGGGATTTTTTTAAAATGTCACGAGACGCGGGACAAATTGTGAAAAATTGGGACGTCTGGTCACCTTACCTCAGATCGTACTTTTAATCAATTAAGATTATTGAATGAATAATTTTTGCTATAGCAATTAACATTTCAGCGAACTGACATCTTCGTAATTATAAATTTTGCCTTTCCATCATAGCAACACTATTTTCAGTTAATGTATTTATTAATATTTCACATAAGCTTTCAGAATTGCAGTTCTCTGAGAATCCCAATCAAAAAATTTCTTTAGTCTTCATTAACATTACTCCATTAATTTTTTGTTCAAAAGTGAAATTATAAATTTATATACTAAGAATTTAATTATGAAACATTGATTTGTGAGACCTGTATTGTTTTTTTAACTGATTCTGAGAAGTTTTTAATGAATGAAAATACATAAAGCTAATTATTAAGAAGCTTAATTTTGTATTAAATGCTTTCACATAAACATGTATTTTTTAATAACATTTTCAAACAATTTAAAACTGATTCTTTTTAGAATTAATATGTATGTAATGTACTTTTTTATGTTAATAGTGGTTCCTCTCCATTCTTAATATTAAAAAAGTCCATCGAAATTACCCCCTTTGTGTTGGAACATATATATGGTAATAAAATTTGTATGTGATAATCTTATTTGTTAGCATTAATTAAATAAGTTTGTTAGCGGCACTGCTTTGAGTTGTAATTGTCATAGTGGTCAACAGTTGTTTTTCTTATATATATTTTTTTTAGTTATTTATCATACTGAATGTTCTTATTTTATTGCATTTCCAGAACGGCCAGCAAAGCGAGTTATCAGTCTTAAGAAGAATAATAGTCAGGTTAACGGTACGTGTTATTTATATTCTGTTTAATGTGTTTCATTGAAACTAATAACTTAATAGTTGATAACAAAGATGAAATTCTACTGTTGCTATTTTAATATATTTTTGACACTTCATTGTTTTTATAAAAATTATGAGTCTCAAACTAAACTAAGAACTTAAATTCCAGGCAGGTCAATGCCAAATCATAGCAATATTTTTATATTTTAAGATCAAATGTATGATCCATACATTTGATCTTAAAATTGATTGATTTTTGGGGGGGGGTAATTCTGCATTTTAAATCCTAAATAGGTACTATCCATATTGTGTAAATTTAACTTCTAATTATAGACAGAAAAATTATTAAAAAGTACTGAATTAATTATATATCAACCTTTTTTTTTCCTTTTAAAGATTCATTGGACTTTAAAATTAAGACCTTGGATGAAATTCGTCGTGAAAGAGAAAATAAAATATGTAAGTAAACTATTTTTTTTTCTGAAGTAAGGTAAGATCCCATTACATAAGCATGATAGTATCTTCCCCGAAGAATTCCCTGTCCCCAATTTTGAATTATTTAGACAAAGATTTCTGTATAAAATTGAGGAATTTTCTAATTCCGTAAAAATCACTAAGCAAAACTTGTTTCATATGTATGATTAATTCCATAAATCCCCAGCTTTTCTAAGGAAAGTTAGAAATCAAAGAAAAAATTTTTTCACAGCATGATCACCACAATTTCCATACCCATATAAGTGTTTTATGAGTATTTGTATTCAGTACAGAGAAAAACTCTAATTTTCAATAGCAATTTTCAACTCAGTTATACAGGTGTTGAAAGTAGTTTTTCCCCCCCCTAAGATTTTGAGGGGGGTTGTATAAAATAATATTATTGTTTGAGCCGCATTATTTAATAGTTCAAAGCCGTAGTCTTAAATAGCAACGATCTAAAAGCATTAGTACAGATAGGTATATTATCAGGCGAAAGGGAAATAAATGTCTTTCATCTGATAATGCACTTATATTTTAGGAATGACTTTTTTTGTTTCTTTCGAGGAATCCAGCGTGTTTTAGAAATATCTTCTACCATCTTGAATCTTTTGTCATTGAGCTACATTTTCAGTTTTAGGACCAAAGACTGCTCACCAAATTTGTAAATATGAGGCGTGTGAAATGATAGTCATATTTGTAGCAAAAAAAAAAAAAAAAAAAAACTGGTGCTTTGTAATATTAATGCTTTTTTTATTCATCTGGGTGTACTGTTGCTAAACAACTCATATCATTGCAGTAGAAAGGTATATTCATAATCTGCATCGATGGGACAAATTTCTTGCCATTAAGCCCCCTTGGGGGTGTAAAAAAAAACTGATCAACATTGTTTTGGTATTGCTTCAAGCTTGATGCAATTTTTTTTGGGGGGGGGGGTCTTAACTTTCTCTGATACTACATTTGCTAATTCATTTAAGGGTTATAACTATATACCCTGGTTTCATCTCTATTAATAATGTGAGTATTTTGTCACATCATTGTTAAGCACCATGCATACTTGAATCATATTTCCTTTATTCACTCATCTAGAGAAAAAGGCATGCATTTTACTGTAATGCATCCAGTTTCCAGTTCATTAGTTAAAATTTTGCAACATTCAAATAGCAATCAGAACTCCAAAAAGGTCATTGACATCTGTTGTGTCAATACATAAAGGCTGATTTTCATAATCTTTCGTGACATTTGCATCTGTTATCCTAGTTCAGAACATTCTTCATTTTCAATGAATGTTCAGTTTTTTAAGCCATTTGAACCAATTACATGTTTGATTGTGATTCTTGGTCTTATTCCAAATGCTTGTTTTAATATTTGAAGGGCTTCCACTGTCATCTTTCCTATTTTATAGGTCCTGCAAAATTTTTACTATTTGAAATCAGACATAACATTATATATGCATTTGCAAAACAGCTCAAATACAACTTCTCTTGAATACTTTATGTAAAAGAACAGACTTTGCTATCAATGATAGATTATAGAATAATTGATTCTTTAGTGATGATGGAAATGACATTTAATGAATCACTGCCTGTCACACCATGTTGGTGTGGGACATAACTTTCTAGGAAGTCTTTGTTACACTTTATTTGTTTGTTACACTTATGCACCAAATTCCTGAACTTAACCACATATATTGTAGAATATGTGTTGAACTATTATTTATGATTATTTTACATTAAATATATATTTTGTCTAAATTATTTTGTGATGAAATTTTATAATTATGTATTTAGGTTAATTTTAATGTGATGTTGATGCATTTCAATTTAAGAAGAAGAATAAATTTGTAATAAATAACTTTTAAATGATGTATAAAATTTTTGGTGATTTATGTTATTTTATGTTTGACTATATCTATCTATATGTATATATTATGTAATTTTAGGTGAGACTATATATTACTTTGCAGCTTTAGCACAGGTTTATAGGCTTTATTAGTTTACTCATAATTGCTTTTATTTAGAATTTATAGCCGTATATATATATATATATATGTTTTCCATTTACTGTTTCCATTATTAAGTCTGAATAATATATTATTATAAATCTTCTTAAAGTATGACTCAAAAGTCAGGAAACTGTAATCACTTAAATCAATACAAGGTTCTAAATCAAGTGTTGGGTACAGGGGAATAAATTAAAAGTATTACCCATTAAAGATGTGAACAACATACCTACAATGGATAGCTTATTTATTTTTTACAGTTTATTGTTATAAGACTGATATGCCAAGAAATTTGTTCATTTGACCCAATATCTGTTTCTGGTGGTTGTATGGATTACCTGCATGAAGATCATTATGTTTTCTTCATATGCATATCATAAATTCTACCATGAAGGCATCCTTTCTGATAGCTTTGGAATGTTTTGCCATAGTCATAAATAATCCTGTCCTTTTGTTGTTAAATTGGCAATTAATGTTTGCATCTGTGTATTTTCAGTGTCTGGAAATCAAGAAGAAAATCTTGACTCATCTGATGTACTTAATTCTTCAAATTTACGTGCAGAAGAAAACAATTCATCAAGTCTTAGTGCTGTACAGAAGTCACTTGGAAAACCCAGAATTAAGAGGCAACCCAAAGAAACTTACTCAAAGCCTAATGTTGTTAATGATGGTATATATGCATTTTACATTCTTTTTTTAATTGTAATTTTGTGTTTATTCTGCAATTAAAATTTCTTTTGAAAAGGATAAAAGGGAACATTCAAATGTAGCTATTTATTTGTTGTTTAAATTAATCATTTTATAGAAAATCTGATGTCGACACCACTTGACTTCCTTGTATGGCCTATTAACTTATACACGTTTTACTGAATTTAAACTTAATTTCTCGAACTATTCTAAGTTACTTAGCTGATCCTTCAAGGCAAGTTGAAAATGATGTCAAACAAATTTTGAAATTAAATATCCCGATCCATTTTTGTCATATGGAAGTCAAACTTCTTATCATTTTATTTTTTTCATCATTAGTATGAAACTTTCCCAGATAATAGTATAGAAACCAGGGCATGGCATTAGAAGTTAAATTTTGCAATTTGTTTGAAATTAATTCCATATTTACCTTCTTGTGTTTTGCAATTTTAACAAGAAGAAAATCTCTATAAGCACTGCTTTTAATACTGTATTCCACTTTGCCCCTGATGTAAACAAGCTTGCTTATTGCATAGAATGTAAAGAAATCAGTTATGAAATGCATTTAACTTAGAATTAAGTACCTAAAATGCTATGGGTATTTTCTCCATGTCCTAAAAATTAGATTCGTTATTAGCAGAAACTTGAGAAGTAAAGAAATAGTGTCAAAATACTGGATTGCAAACTAATTAAAATCTGTACTGCTTGTGAATCAACATTTTTAGTAATTAGTAAATAAAATATAAAAATAATATATGAATAAAATATCAAAAACCTTTTAATGATAAACACATTATTTTTATTGACTAGCAGGCAAGCCCGCCAACTGAGCGGGTTATACCTCCACAAGATATTCGCCAGCTGACTTGATCGCTTTATTCACATATGCATCCACAAGATACTGCATATATATATATGTGTGTGTGTAAGTGTGCGTGTGCAAAAATGCATGCAATGAGGGCAAAATGTATTTGCATTTGAAAAGAAAAAATTATAGGTTCAATGTACACCTGAAAAAAAAAAAATATATAAACACATTTCAACATGAATGAAATCCTTTCCATTTACATCTGGAAAAAAGTCTGTATATGAATGAAATCAGTTACCCAATAGCATTTCAATAGTTACTCAATAGAGTTTCTTCTTCAAATTCAGCTTTGGCAATGCGCTCGAGGACAATCTGCCTAAGGGTAGAGATGCCGTCGTGGAGGACTTTTTAAGTGAAACTAGCTCGTATATACGTTAAAGATGCGGAAAATCATGAAAACACCCATGCAGCCAGCCTGTTCGCTGGGATTCAAAAGTTGGGCCAAACTACCAGTGTTCAGCAATTTTACCCGGGCTGTGGCCACTTTATTCACATATGTATCTGCAAGATACTGTATACATGTTACACATGCAGAAAATCATGAAAACACCAATGCAGCCAGCCCATTCGCCGGGATTCGAAAGTTGGATCAAACTACCAGTGTTCAGCGACTTTACTGCTTAACCGCTAATGGGCCATTGTACGAAGTATAATCATGAAAATTTTCGGGTTTATTATTCCAACAGTAGATTCGTTATTGAAATTCATTTAATTAAATTCCTTTTTTTGAACTTCAACAGAATCACACGCAAAATTACAATATATATATTAATACAATTATATGTGTGTGTGAGTATGCAAAAGTGCATGCAATGAGTGAAAAATGTATTTGCATCTGAAAAGAAAAAATTATAGGTTCTATGTACACCTGGAAAAGATGTATAAAATATGAAAGGTAAATGCAATTTTTTTCAAGCAACAATAATGGAAATATATAACACGAATGAATAGATCTTTAAAAATATATGAAACAAAACATTAAATATATCATAAAAGTCAAAATGTCGATAATAGCTTTAAGTTGGTAAATTAGTTAGAAGTCAAGTTATTAATTTTTAAATGATTTTCCATGTGCAAATTCGGGGAATTTTGACATTTTCTCGCCAACCCAACAATCGACGGGATACCAGCTCCCCACCCACCAAATCAATCAATAAGTAAATGGAAGACGTAGGGGAAAATTAGTTTTTAATTAATATCTTGGCTAATTAAAGTCGCTCAAAGACAGGAATGATCAAAATGGCTTGCCACGGACATTCGGAATTCAATGTTGTGCTTCGCTAAGCCCATGAGCGAGCCGTTCTTGAGGAAATAGGGTTACAAACAAACAGACAGAGGTGCACAGATTTTAATATAATAGATAAAATTCATTTAGTAATAAAAATCACAAAATGGCATTATTCCAGTAACTATTTATTCTTTTTTTTTTTTTTTTTTTTTTGTCTTTTGGCATGAGCTTTCAGTTAAAAGTGAAGTGAAACATTTGAAAATTTTCCTTAAGTTAAAATGTTAAAGAAATTATATACTTCTTTATTGATAATAATTATGTAAAATGATTTTCTAAATTTGTAGTTAGTTAATAAATAATTGAAGTAATTCAAAAGCATAATGATTAGAAAACGAAATAATTTCAGAATAACACAAAAGCATAATGATTAGAAAACGAAATAATTTCAGAATAACACAAAAGCTGAAGTTTTTGGTCTTTCTGTTTTACTTGAAGTGGCATCCTTCTCATTACTATGGCATAAACTTTGTAAATTATTCAAATTTCAAAAATGCCTTAACTGCAGACATTAAAGTAATTTACCATCACAGAAGACATAGTTTTCTATAGATCAAAAGCTAGTTGTCATTTTTCAACAGATATTTCTTTGTGTAAAAGTTCAACCTTTTTGAATGAAAGATGTTGCCGGAAATTTAATTTTTTGAAAGCTGTTAGTAATTGTTGCAACGCTAATGTGTTTTGCTAATGCATATCTGCCAACTCTTCCGGTAAAACTGGGTGCATTGTATCTTCTGGCCCCCTGGTAAATACCTAAATTCCCCAGTTTTTAATTTTTAGCCTTTACTACAGAAAAAGCTTCCAAGCAATAAAATTAATTTATTAAATTGATGAAACTTAGATCAGGCAAATTGCATCCTCCCATCTCTAGTAATTTCAGAATTATTTTTCTTATTAAATTTTATTTCATCTAAGTTGCACTTTTTTATTACATTTATTTATATCGATCTTTTTAAATTTCATTCAATCTGAGTTTTCATAATCTACTGCAGACATCTGTAAATTTTTATATGAAGATTCAATCGATGTTTAATCAGTTAATATTTATATTTAATTTTATTTTACTTCAGTATATGGTACAATACTAAGTGTATCTGGGCAAGTAGTATGTACATTAATTGTTAATTTTATTTTTGTCATTTAATTTCAATGAAAACCTCTTAAAATAATGAAGCTTCTGTAATATTTCAGATTAAATCCTTTTCTCAAGTCCATTAAAAAGTGTGATTGGATAGTTCCCTGGTAAAAAAGGAAGGGATAGGATGAAATTTTAGTATTTAAAAATATAGTTAAAGATATTCATGATGCAATTCTTATTATTTAAGAACAGATTTCAAAATTGCACCAATAGTATCTTTCCTTCTTCTTCATCTTAAGACTGAGATGAATTTCTGATGATTATAGTTGTAGCTTGTATATTCTTGTTATTACTAAATGCAGATGAACCAAATAGTAATGAAATTGTATATTAAGCAGTTAGCATTTCATAATTATTAAATATTTTTTGTAGTTGAAGTGCGAGAAGATCCGAGCTTGAAAACTGGAGATCGCTCTCAAATGGTTAATATATTTATCAAGTTTTTATTCTCTTTTATCGTTATTATTTTTCTCCTGTCTTTTTGTTTAACTGTATTGTCTGTTTGTTGTTGTATATTATTTTATGAAGAAATTCTTTCGTTGTTAGTGCTTTTATGCAAAAATGTTTAAAAGTTTCCCTCTTTGTCCTCTTTAAACAAGCAGTACATTTTAAAAATTTATACTTGCATGTAAATTTATAATTTGTATTTAATTCCTTTAACATTACTATAATTTAATGTCAAAGTTCTTTAACTTTTATGCTAATCAGTTTTATTAAATTTTTGTAACAAGTGATAAAAGCTATTATTTTCTTTAAGAATGAGCCCAAAATTTATAATTAATTAGAAGGTGTAATAAGGAGCAATAAATTTCTTGTAATATATACTTTTTATTATATAATTATTTTAAGCTGCATTTAACTGATATTTTTAGTAAATGTATTTAATGTGTAATACATGTGAAATTTTTTTTCTAGGTTCTTCATGAAGTTCAAAATATATCAGAGGACCAACCTAAATTGAAGAATGTTAATGATGGAAAACTAACATTGCCTTCAAAAGGTAATATTTCAGCCATACAGAATAGGCTAATTTTAAGAAGTACTGAATAATTAAGTTCCTTCCCCCCACCTCTCTCTCTCTCTCTTCCCAGAGGGGACGTACAAGTTAGCCAAAAAATCTTCGCCATCATATTAACACCTAGTGGCCTATTTGCTCGACCAGTCAAAATAAAATTCCACATATTGTTAGTGGAAGTAATGTGCTCAATATTGAATGTTTTAAAGCAATAGAGCTCTCACAATGATGATTGCAGTTAAAAATTGTTTAATGGCAACACCTTTTTTTCCTGTACAAATTGATCAGCACATTGAGAAACCATATACAGCATTAGAATGACTTATGTTATGACAAAAATTGCCAGAGCTCTCACAATGATGGTTACAGTTAAAAATTGTTTAATTTAATGGCAACACCACTTTTTCCCTGTGCAAATTGATCAGCACATTGAGAAACCATATACAGCATTGGAATGACTTATGTATGACAAAAATTGCCAATGTGAAACATTTGCCACTACACACAGATTTTTTTCAACCACTACCCGCAGATCAGTGGGCAAGAGTAAATGTTTTTTAATTCATATGTTATTTGTCTGTAGGTCATAATATTCGATTTCTAGAATTTTTTTTTAAACATTATAAAAATAATGTTGCTTGCATCAAAGGGTTAAACTATTAATAATTTGTTAGCTTTCCAGCTCATTATAACTTTAAAAGTTTTCCATTTTCCACTTTCGTGGACTAATTTTTCTGTAAGTCAACCATTTAGCTGTCATATCTTTCTGTCAATAGAATTAAAATAAAATGCAGAAGCCTTCTTATTGAAGCTTTAATACATGACTACAGCAAAATAGTCAAAGCCACTTTCAGTTTATCTCAATCTTAATTGCAGCTTGGTGTAATGAATTTAATTCTATTAAAAATTGTATACTTGTTAATAAAAAAAGTTTTTATTACTACTAAAAAAACTTTCAAAACTGAGATTACTTATAGTTAAGTGGAACTAAACTCCTGAAAACCAGTTTTGGGTTTATGGAATTAATATTTACAGAGGGGGGCACACATTTTTGTAATGATTTTGCGAAGATTTATATATAAACAAACCGTAAAATTTTATTTTCGAATATGTTCACTAGTCTGATAGCTCTTTTGCTGAAATATCATATTATACAGCCAAGTCTTTAATCCGGACTCGCTGGGACTTGGGCGATTCCGGATTATCAATTTTTCCAGATTATAGATCATCAGTTTAAATCTGGTAAGATGGCATGCAGAAATTATAAAATTAAAAATATGAAACTGTAATTTATGAAATAAAGAGCAATTATGATCTAAAGGGTATCAAAATTTACAAAAAAAAAAAAGATTAATATTTATTTACTTTATTAAACATTTTTTTCAACGCGTGCATGCGTAAAGTATACATTTGCGCATAGTTGAAATTAAAAAATTGCAACCAGAAAACTATTTGATGTGTATTAATGATATTTATAATGACGAGGAAATTGATTTAAATTATATCGGAGTACATCGAGATGAAACACTACATTTAGTGAGGAATTATAAGCCGAATAAAATAAAAACATCTGCCCTGAAGATGACGATAGTGCTGACAGATCAACTTCCACTTCATTGAGTGTCACGGTGTTCTCCCCCCCCCCACACACAGAGCAGCGTGAAATTGATAAACAGATTTCGGAATAGTTAGAGAAACAGATCACCTCTCTGTCACTTTTTTCATGCCTTTATCCATTTTTTGCAGCAGTTCCACGTTTTGTTTAATGGACATCGAAACATGCTTTCCTGTAGATCGTTTGGCAGCTCCAGAATTTAATTGGAAACTCTTTTGACATAATCGAAAGTTCAAGCTTACTTTTTATAAAATTGCTCTAACAGTCTGCAAAAAATAATAAGCCGGATCCAATTCGAAGATTAAGGAACAACGCAATCTGCAACATTAACTGAAATAGATAATTAGATCATTTTAGATTAGCTTATACCATCTGTTATACATTAAACATGCATGCGCAGAAAGTTTATAGCCTTGAGGTCCGGATTATAGATCATTCCGGATTAAAGACTATTGACTGTATCTAGATTTTTATGATAAAAGTCCTTTTCTTAAAACATAGAGGTTGATTTTATTCCACTCTCCTTCACAATCTTCCAGTCCATCCTATGTTTTGGGATGCTGCTTATATATATATATTTGTTGCCCCCCCCCTTTTTTTTCTTTTTTTTTTTTCAAAAAATGGAGCAGTATATTTAGAGATATGGCCTGGAGCCTTATCCTGATAGAACTTTACATAATTAAGCTTGTTTGGATAAAGAGATGGAATTTCTTTAAAAAAAGATTTTAAAACATATTTCTGATAGTAATCTGATTTACTTTTGACTTTTTTTTTTTTTTGTGTGTGTGTACTTTCCATATTTCAAATTTTCTGTTTCAAGAGAATTTATTAATAACCATAAAACCTCTAGAAAAACTTTCTTTGTTTCCTCTGAACCAACACATTAAGTCTTTTTCTCCTCTTTTTGGTAGTAAATCTATCTTTTTCTATTGCAATCAGTTAAGTATTTCCATGCCTCATTAATTGTAACTATATATTTCCATTTTTCAGCTGCGAAATAATTTTCATATAGCAATCTGCACATAGTCTTATGCCGAGAAACATGTTTCTCGTGAGGTGATGAATATAATTTTTTTTTAATTAGCTTTAAATTAGATTTTGTTATTTTGTTCACAGTTCGTAAAGAGACATTTAAAGATGTTGCAATAGCTCTTTGGGAGGCTGATTGCACAAACAGAGGTTAGATGAGACAAATCCTCTTTTACAGAAATACTCTGGAAAGGGCCTTTCCTTTAAAATATGAGATGCGACTTTAGATTTAATAAGAGCTGTACGTGCTTTTGTTGGGTATGTGTTTTTCGCCTTTTTCCCAGTCAGATGTAAAAACCATGTTTTTCACATCTTTTTTCAATGGTTCGATAAGAGTATTTCTCTTCGGACGGTGCAAAAATGAAGGCTTTGATCTATTGTTTATTTTTCAGCGACAATTTAAAGAAAAGAATATTTTTTATGCTGCAGATGATAAACCTTATTCCAGTTTGATGCCAGTCAGTTTATATTTTAAAATGTTTAAATTCATGGAGAAAATCAAAATCATTACAAAAATGCGTAATCCTCTGTGCTTCCTTGTATGAAGTGAAGGAAGTATTGTAATCACAAAATATTTTAGATTTCATTTTTTATAGAAATATCCATTTTGACAGGTGATAAATCCATTTAGCTTTTTTTCCCACCTTTTAGTGACATCTGTGCATACACACAGAATAAAGAACTCTTTTTTTTTTTTTTTTTTCCCCCGAAAATGGTTTCAAAAGGGAATTTTTCATGAATTTTCTTTGTGATTGTTTATATGTATGTAAGTATGTATCTCATATAACTCAAAAACGATTAGCCATAGAACACTGAAATTTTGTATGTGGGACTACTGTAATGTCTAGTTGAGCACCTCCCTTTTTTGTTGTAATTGACAGTATGAAATATGTATGCATCTCCTTACCTGGTCTGTATTCTCACAGTTGTTGGTCATAGTCATATACTTTATATTATATTTAGTTATAGAAGTGTTTTAAATTATGAAAATATTCATGTTTTGTCAACGTTAAATTTTAAAAAAAAGTTTAAATAAATAGGAATAAATAAAACTATATGAAGTTTGACTCCTGTACAACAAAAATTGACCAGAGGAACGTAAGGAAAAGTTCTGCGAGATTATTCTAGTATGAAAGATTCTGATGTGGTTACTTTATAACTTCCTTGTATGTAATTGGACTAATTCTTTGCTTCATTTACTTTCATTTAAGTTTATTTCCTCAAATTATTTTAACTTAATCAATTCCTCATGGCAAGTTGAAAATGATATCAAAATTACAAATTTTGAAATTAAGTATCCAGGTTAATTTTTGTCATACGGAGATTGGAGCAGTATTCTTACAACTTTATTTTTTCATAACAAATATAAGTCTAGAAACCAGAAGGTCGCATTAAAAGTTAGATTTCGCCATTTGTTGAAATGAATTTTTTTTTTTAAATTTGAAATTTACAAAACATGAATATTATCATGTAAAACATTTCTGTAATTGGGAATACATGTCTTATGACCAACAATTTTAAAAATAAAAGACTTGGTAAGGGATAGTTGGATTATATATTTATAAACACATGTGTAAAATATAACAAAATATGATGGCTGCTCTCAGAAACGATTGGTGACCTATTTACTATTCTAAATTTGGTGTTCTCCCCCCCCTAAATTCATCGGTTCTCCATAATTTGAGTTCCTTTCATGTTATATAACAGCCTAAAATTAACCAATAACAAATTAGCTGTACTTATGCACCTGTCTAGTATAAATAGCTACTAACTGTGTAGCCTTTTTCTCTTTCACCTGCCTGCCTGCTGAAAGCGTGTCACTCAGCCTCTCCTAGCTATTCACCATTATTTAAAATGTAATTGCATATCTCGAATTATGAGGCACTTTTAGTAGCCCTAATCTTCTACCAGTTATGAAGATATGTGTTAAGAAATTCATCATTGAAGAATAAATGATGTTTAACTATCAATCTGGTCATGTTTCTTTTAAAATTCCATCTGATCATCCACTACGCTATAATGTCCATTCGCCTATCTACGTAGCAGTTTCCTCAGCGATGACTAAACGTGGATTATTTTCATCTTCCGCCAAAAGTACAATGTTACATATATATATCCGTAGGTTGATCCAAAAAACTTTACAAGCAGAAGTATTTGAAACGTAATAATTGTGGAGCGAATATTTCCACATAGGATGGTTGGTGGATGGCACTAGTTGTCTTACAGCGGCTCTACGAGTAAGTGGCGTCAGTACGCAGACACTTAAGAGCGACAGTAATGGCACGACGTCTAGAAAAATGGTCTCGCATAGAGGTGCGAGCCGTAATTCGATTCTTATGGGCCAAAAATGTGGCCGCATCTGAAATTCACAGACAAACTGTTGAGGTATACAGGGACAAAGCAATGGTGAAATTGTGTTGTTCTTATCCAGCAGGCAGGGAGCATGTGGAAAACTGCAATATGGAAGCGAGCGGCCGTCCAAGTTCTTCAAGGACGGATATCAACACGGCATGTGTTGAAGAAATCATCTGAAGGGATCGACGAGTAACCACGCGTGACTAAACCATGACAGAGTTGGCCCTGAGTTATGGTAAAGTTCAGCGTATCGTAACCGATGAGTTGCAATATTTCAAAGTTTGTGTCCACTGGGTTCCACGTGCGTTGTCCGCAGAGCATGTAAGGCCACTCAAATGAGGTGCAGCCTCACATTTCTTCCGACGGCCAACACTTCATTGATTGCATCGTTACCTGTGATTAAACATGGCTTCATCACTTCACCCCCCACATCCAAAAGAGCCACGATGGTGTGGAAACATGCTGGATCACTGACGAGGAAGAAGTTTAAGGTCACACCCTCTGCCGGTATAGTGATGGCAACCGTTTTGGGATACAACTGGTGTTATCCTAATCGAGTATTTGGAGCGTGGCCATACCATTAAGGCCGATCGTTATTGTGCCACCTTAACGAAATTGCGTAAAGCCATCCGATGCAAACGGCCTGGATTACTGAGCAAAGGCGTCGTTCTTCTGCATGCCAGCCCCCATACAGCTCACCAGACTCAGGAATTGCTGCAAAGGTTCAAGTGGGAGGTCTGGAATCACCCCCCATACAGCCCCGATTTGGCTCCAAGTGACTATTTAATTTTTTCGGCGTTAAAGCGATACTTATCCGGAACATGGTTCACCTCAGATGATGCAGTGAAAACAGCTGCCGAGAAATGGCTCAATGAGCAGGGCCATGATTACTACCAAGACGGGATAAGCAAAACAACAAACAAACAAAACGTTCTGACAAATGCCTAAACAGGTTTGGCGACTATGTGGAAAAGTGAAAGCCAGATGTGTCTCTTGATTCCCATTTGTATCTTGTTTCTATTGTTAATAAATACTTTTTCATTTGCCTTGTAAACTTTTTTTTGGATCACCCCTCGTATTATTAAAATAAATAAATAAATAAATATCCGTTATATGCTTCTGTTTCAGCTGATTGCAATAAAAAAGAGAGGTGCACAATTAGATGTTATAGCAGTATTATATAGAAAAATGAAAAAGTCCATTTTGAATTTAAATCCATTTTATGATTTGCAATTTATAATTTAATATTAAAAAAAAAAAAAAAAAAAAAAAAAAAAAAAAAAAAGAGTCCTTATTCTGTCTGTATGCACAGATGCCCTCCAAAAAGAAATAATAATAATTGAAATAGATTTGAAAATAGTCAAAATGGGTATTTCCACTGAAATAATGATATCCGAAAATTTTCAAGGTTATAATACTTCATAAAAGGAAGTTAAAAAAAAAAAAAAAAACTCTTCTTCCTTCTATTTTCTTTTTATTGCATATTTGTAAATGTTATGTCTGAACTAGTTGTATATATTTTACAGAAAAAGCAAATTTTTTTGTAGGGAAGAGAAAAGAAGTTGACGATAGTGAATCAGAGAGAAGCCATAAAGTAATGAAAGTTGAAACAACAGTATTAAATTCAAATTCTAATGGTTCAACTTATACCAAAGAAATCAAAAATAAAAAAAATGAAGATAAGTAAGTAATTGTAAGATTCCATGTATTTAAGATGTTGTTATTCAGTTAATAGCATGTAATAAATATTTAATTTTTATATCTTATGGTAGCAAAGGTTAAATAAAACATTATATAATAATATATAAATTTGTACTTTTTGGGATATATAAAGGATTTTTTTACCCCCCAATTTAAAAGGTAAATTTTACTAAATACTGTAAACAAACATTTAACTATGTACTGTAAACAAGTGCACTTGGAAAAATTTGCTTCTGTAATCTTCATGAAATTATTTTAAGTCCTAACTAAGCATGTAACTTATTTTCTAAACAGTACTTTGATGTAGTTTACAGTGTGAAAGTTAGTGTCTTGTAAGAAAAAAGTATCTTGCTTTGAATGCAAAAAAGTTGTTCTCAATAACATTTCACTTGCAATCTAATCATTCTAGAATGGTTCATCTGCTTTCCAAGGATGTCTAAAGCAGATTGTATTTCAAAGGAATGAAATAATTATTATAGTCGAATATCAGAGTGTCAAAGGCAGAGTTTTAAGTCACTGAAGTTCGAAAATATGAGACCATGATTTAATAATATTCTTATTTTAATGCTTGTATTCATTGGTGTGCTTTAAAATGGATAAAAATAATATTAAATTATGCCTAATTTACTGATGGACTTTTTAAGTTTAATATAATAAAGTTTTAAAAAATTTTTTATTTATTTAACTTAAGCATCTAAAAAAAGTGGGCAGAGAAGGGATGGCAAGCTTAGTAGTGGCAGCTCATTATGGTTTTATAAACTGTAATGTATATAAATTGCAATTTAAAATGCAAAGTTTGTAGTTTTGCTGTTGAAGCAATTATGATGGAAAGATAGTAAAATTGTCCAAAAGTAGTACAGATACAGTGGGTGAAATATGTATGTAAGAAAGAATACTTGATGAAATTTGACGTGAATGAAATTGTTTTTAACTTATTTGCTACTTTTAATTAATCAGTACTTTTGAATATTTTTTATATCTTTTCTTAACTTACAAAAGATTGGTCAGTAAAAATATAGTATTTGGTATCATATTATTCTTAAAATGGAATTTATCATAATCTGGTTAGTAAAGGGCTTCATTACTGGGAGTGTGAAATATTTTATTTCCACTTGCTAGTGACCAAAGAAAGAAGTGATGAGTGTTTGCTAGCCAGGAATTAAAAGACAAAGTAAGCTTCCTGCGTTGAAGGTACTGGGAGTCAAATTTTCTTTCTCTCTGTTAAAGGCAACCTTATTTTTGGATGATATTATGGATTTTGAATTGTTCACCCTGGTGTTTGGTTACTCATTTTGCAGGAATCAAGAGGGTCTTTCCAATTCATTTTAGGGATTAAAAATAAAATGAAAAGGAGAAAACTCATCTGATTTGTCAAGTGTGAATATTAGTGTTTATATTTCAACCTGTAGAATTTAAGTGAGCATGGGAACCTAAATTTCATCGTGGGTTGCACAAACATAGAATAGAGATTTGTTCTAGGTTTTGAAGAGTTGGGGAAAGGAAAAAAGAGAGAGAGGTGAGGCTTCGGCCTCTCTGTGGTGGCATCTGTGACCCTAGGTGCGATCATGCACTCTAACCCTGTCTTCAATTTACAGAACCAGAGAATGGGCAAAGAAGTTTTGCATAGCCAGCTCACCTTTGGTCCCCTGGTTAGTTGGGAGAAGGGGTGAGAAAATCCAAACTTTATCAAATGAAGCCCTGAGTAATGAGAACATTTCCTGCCACTCTGTCCTTGCTTACCCTTTCCATTTGGAAACGTACGGAAGTTATTCATATTGAATTAGTCTTCAGTGCTAGATATTTTCATCAATTATTTGTCAGTATGGAACCTGTTTTGTCCAGGGTCTTTCCTTCAAGTGGATTTGAGCAACTGAAGTTTCGGAAAGCTCTGAAAAGCCCTAATAAAATTTTTTGGGCATAGAATGCCTAAATCTTTGTCATGTCTGTGGCTTTGGTAAGATGGTTATAACTCGCTTTCAAGTCATGGTCTTGTGGCAGTAAAATAAATGGATTGATTTTTCTTTTTTAAATACTATTTTATATGTTTTTAGGGGGGATAATTTTTCTTTCACTTTAAATGAATATGTACAGAATTATGTAAATTTTTGTAACTAAGGGAAAATTCAAAATTGCTTAAATAATTTTTAAATGAAAGGGTCAGAATTTTAGTCTAAACGTGTAGAATGTTAAATTAGTTCATGTTAAACTAATATATAATATGTTAAAATTATAAAATTGTAGTAAAAGAAGGAATTAAAGTATCACTGAATTGATGACTGTAGAATCTGCTATATGAGATTTAATTTAATAAATTGTTAAATGCGGGAGATGTTTTGTCATGGTATCTTGAATTAATAAACATTAATAATACAACATTTGCGTGTGAACTGTAAATTTTATCTTTTTTGTTCAGTAGTTTAAACTTTTAAATATAAAAAAGCAAAGCATGAAAGTTACGGCTAGCAGTTACAAGAATGGGGGGGAAAAAAAAAAAAAAATGCAAGCTGCAGAAAGCAAAATAAGTTCTCACAGACAGAGGAGCTCTATGTTCAGAGACAGGCAGACAATCTGATGGCTGAAACATTCCACCCAGTGTTGAAGCATCATTTCAAATCTAAATATCATTTACAAGTGAAGCTATCATAACAATATTAAATTATACAAAAAGGCACTAAAATATTCACAGGAAACATAATATGAAATTATGAAAATAATACAAAATTTTTCTCAAAACTGATGCACAGAAGCCTTGATACAATTTTCGGGAACTTTATATTTAAAACAAAGTACAAAGTTGTAATGTTATTACTTTTTTTTTTTTTTTTTAATCCTTAAGCACCAGTAGGCAAAACACTAATTTTGGGAATTAGCATTTTTAAAAGTGTTTGCAGCTTTGAGCTTCACAAAACGCACAGTCCATCGTAGAGAAGGTAAATTGTCTTCCTTTATGATAACTGAAACATCAAACTTTTCACCTGAATGGCACAGGTTTTAGCATCTGCTATGAAGACCTGTATTTATGCAGCATTTATATAATTACTTATTTAGTCTCTATTTTCATAAACTTACATTCATTCACATTATTAAAGAAAGTAAGAAAGCAAAATATCTAAGCTTTACATATCAAGTAAAAAAATATCTTATGACTGGATAAAGCCAGTTATGCTGCTCAGAGGGTTAATTAGGTTGCACTTTAAACCATTTTGAATGGTGTTGTAAATTAGAAGTGTATTCATTGGACTATCTTTTCCAAAAATTTCGAAGCATTTTCTGAACAAGCTTCCAGCATTGTAAAATAAGAGTTTTTTTATCCTGTAAACTTTCTTCAGGTAATGCAGTTAGCAGGCTACCAGTTAAGAAATGACCCGGTATATGTGCAGAAAATTCTGATGGATCTTCAGACATTGGATAGAAAGGTCATGAATTTATAAGGTATTTGTCCCGCTTTCCTAGCGTGTCTTCATGTTATAGTGGTCAGCACACTGAGCAGGTATTTCAGAGGTCCGTGGTTCGATTCCTGGCGAAGGCAGTTGCTAATTTTCATCTTTTCTGCTTCCAAAAATATACCTGATGTCTCTACAGTGGCACTCGAACTAAAAAGGGTTTGGATGATGATTCTCCACACCCAGGATTTGGTGACTAGGTCTCCTAAAACTCTAGTCGCCCTTTAAAAAGAGGAGTATATAAGGTATTTCTCCCGCTTTCATAGCATGCCTTCGTGGTGTAGTGGTCAGCACACTGGGTCGGTATTTCAGAGGTCCGTGGTTCGATTCCCGTCAAGGGCAGTTGCTAATTTTTTATCTTTCCTGCTTTCAAATATATACTTAATGTCTCTACATATTCAAACAAGCTTCAGTTTGATCTATCGATGTTGTAAATTCTTCTTGCATCAAAAGATGTTCTATGGTTCGCTTCAGATGAAACTGTGTAGACTTGACAGCAGTTTCCCAATCCTCCAAAAGAAGTGCTGCAGGAGAATTAAATATTCACCTAGTATCTTCAGCTGAGTGCAATTCATTTTCCTTCAAAGAATTTATTACTGTTTTCAATTCCTTATCAGTAGCAATAAAATACACACCACAATCACTATGCACTGTATTGGTTTTCCTCTTTGAAATACATAGCATTTCAAAGCGTAAATAAATGATTATGATGTTAGATTACCTAATTCAATGCGTGGATTCATCCATGTAATAATTATTTTTGTCTTACTAACAAAGACAAACCTTGGCAAACTACCTTCAAAGATAATGCCAAGCCTTTCCCTTCTAACAGTTGAACTTCTTCCCAGCATAATACTGACCCCTCACTCCAAAGCAAACACAAACTGACAGTATGATTTTCCAAGTTACACATTCACCTTCTATAATTATTTATGGATGATATGAGGCCTAAGGAGTAGCAGAGACATCCTCTCTCAATTTGAGCAATAAAATTAGTAGAAAAAGGGAAAGCCATGTCTGAAAATGTATATCGGAACTCTGAAACAGTAATATGGTAAGTGGAACATGATGTTACTCAGATGTGGACATAAGTGCTACAAGATGGGTATATGTACTAATTTGATAGCATTACATCATTTATGATTGCTTTTGTGTTTGAATAAAGCTATTTGTTGAGGGAAATTATAAATGGTATTAAATATATTATATTCTAGTTTTCACTCCAAAGGAGTGTTAGCCCAGAAGGGGTATTAGTCTCAAAACAGCATTTTGTGTCAGTTCACTATAAATGGCATATTACTTTTTAAATTATTGCCACCAAATACACACATTGGCCAATGAATTAGAAACTTTTGAGATTTTCATTTGAATGTGTGATAGGGATGAAGCATGAAGATTTTTTTAAGACATGGGTTACACTTGGTTAGAATGCTTTCATGATAAATGAAGTAAAATGGGAAAAATGACAGATCTTTCACCATTTGAAGAAGAGCTTATTATTGGTGCCTCGATTTCAAAGACAGCAATCCTCACTGAACTCTCAAAAACAGCCATATCAAATTATTTCAAAAATTGGAATCAGAACTCACAGTCTTTCTCTAAAAGACATAACTGCTACTCGAGTACAGTTTTCCAAGAGAGAGATCAGCGTTGTCTCTGACCAATTGTACGGCAAAACAGGGACTCTACTGTGCTTCAACTGACATAGATCGTCAACCAAGCTCTTCCAAACAGATTTCAGCCCGAACCATGCACAGAGAATTGCTGAGGACAGGAATGTGTCGTTGGGTGCCTGTGAGTAAAACCACTCATTTCTGCCCGACATGCAAGAATTCGTTTTCTGTGGTGTCGGGAAAGAAGACACTGGACATGTGAGGATTGCAAACAGGTAATGTGGTCACATTGAATTATGATACACCTTATTTTTCACTGATAGAAGACGTCGAATTTGGCAAGAACCCCGTGAATCCAACTTGCCTTATTCGTACTGTGCAAGGGTCTAATGGGAGTATCGTGATATGGGGCATGTTCTGCTGGAATGGAAATGGTGCCCTGGTGTTCGAGGATAAACAAACAGCCATAAGATACCTAGATATACTGGCAGATCAAGTGCACCCTGCAATGTTTCATTTTTACCCTGATAGCAACGGATACTTTATGGATGATAATGCAGTTATGCATCGTACCAGAAGTATTCAAAATTGGTTCGCTGAACATCAGTCTGACTTCCAATGCCTTCCCAGGCCACCGCATAGCCTGGATCTTAACTCCATAGAAAATGTGTGGAATATGGTAGAAAGACGCATCCAACAGCATTCTCGTCTTCCATCTAATGTACAAGATCTAAAAAGCTGCATAGCCAATGCAAAGTATTCTCTTGATGTAAATGCACTCCAGAAGCATGTAGACTCAATGCCCAAACGAATCAGAGCAGTTATGCATGCAAAAAGGTGGTCCAATAAAATATTGATTTTGGTTTTCTAATTCATTGGCCATTGTGTGTATTAGTGCCGTGTATTATTTTTAAAGAAATTATGTAATGAAGAATCTGCATGAATATATGTATGTTTCTCACATTGTGAAAAAACCTAGAGCCATGAAATTTTGAATAACATAATCATCCACCCAAATAAGGCCACCTATAAGCCCGAATTTTGAATTTTTTCTATTATCTGTTTCATATTTTGTAAAACTTTTAACAAATTTTTTATTAACAAACGCGATGATTTCAAAACAAGCAATAGCAACACTGTATGGGGGGGGACATTTTTATCTCTAGTGCACGAGACTGTCTATTGGAAATTCTAAAAATATGTTGTTTTTAAATATTTTGTGATGTTGCTGATAATTTGAATTTTATGTGGTTTAAGTGCAAAGCACGAGATATTTAATAGGGGCATAATAATATAAAATCTGAAAGCTTTCAGATTTTTATATTAATTTTTTTATTATTATTGTCTGTACTTTCTTAAAAAGCCCATACCGATATGCAAAAGTTGAAAGCTAGGGAAAGTGTTTGGTTCTTTAAAGAGTATATCTAAAAACGAAAGATTTAATGATTTTATATGGCATTTTAAAAATTTGGTACTTAGGGTGTTTGTATATGTACACATTTCTAAACTCTTAAAATTTTTAATGCTGTATCTGATTTTTTTTTTTTTTTTCTTAGTCAAGTAAAGAAAACTTGCCGTCCTGTCATAAAACGCAGTACCATACCATCTCCTCATTTAACATCTGTGTCATCACCGCCAAAATCAACTGTATCTCATAATACTGAAGATACTACTGCTGGCCAGTTGAGCTCAGGAGCAAATAGTGTAAAGCCTGAATCAGAAAGTGTAACTTCGTCAAAGGATGGAGTTTGTACTGTAACCTCAACTACTTCTGCTGAAAAAGAAACAGAGCAAAGGACAACTGTTCGATCTTCATCTGTTGATGAATTTGTTAACTTATTCCTCAATGACTCTGATATGAATCTGGAAGAGGTTGATGATACAATGGAAGGAGGAGCAGAAGATATATTACTAAAAATTGAACAACTGCTAGAGAGTTAATATTTTTTGTAAATCTTCAGGGTTGTGCAATCTTTAATAATACCACCATAGTTCTTATCAGAGCTGTTTTCCCATCAGCACATCATGTTTTGTTGTTTACCCGAAAAAGATTGCTTCTATTTTTTCAATCATGAAAATCAGCAAGACCTATATGTAGAGGTTTGATTTTGATTGTCGTATTTTTATTATTACATACATGTTTTAATGTATGAAGAATCTTGAGCTATTTTTGTACTCTTTGTATAAATTATTGTTGATTATACAAAAAATTTGCAACTTTTAATTAATGTGACAATGTATATTCTCATGGTGTTTAATTTTTTGTTCCCTTTATTTTGGGGGGGGAGTGTGTTAAGAGCATTCCTGAATTTCAACATGTGGATGTGTCTTTGAGTTTTATTTTCGTATCTATATCACTTTGTCATTGCTTAATGCTGTTACGTGTATCCTAGTACCACAATGAAAGAAAGCATCTTTTTCTTGAAATAATTTAGCAATTTATCTATGGACTGTAATGAAGCTCCAAATTATTGATATGTATATTAATGTATTAATTTTGATGTGTTTATAATGCAGGTGTAAATAATGTAGGGCTTATTTTCACTTTACAATGTGCACTTTTGTGATAAATTTCATTATCCAAAGTAATAGCATGGAAAACATATAACTTGTCCCCTTGTTATATTATATAAAAATTATAATCTTGGAATGCAATTGTGTTGTTTCAAGGAATGAGAATTTTTATGTTTAATTTTAACCTGCAAAGGACATGGTAAATTAAGCCTTCTGTAGTTCTTTTAATAAGCCATTATAATGTGTCGAGTAAAAGTACACTTTAAAAAATATGAACTTAATATGTGTTCCTACCTTTTAATATTTATATTTATGAGTATGTCTTTTGTTTAGCTCATAAACATATTTTATTTTGAAGGAAAAAAAGGGTGTGTTTATCTGTAATTCAAATCATCAGAATGTTTGCTTTTTTCAAAGTCAGTTTTTGAAATTTCTCATTGAAAGGGGAACAGAAAGCAGTTTATTTAATTTAGTACCCATAATTGGGCAAAATTGTTAAACTGGTTGAAAGTCATTGAATGATTATGACAGTTTATGTTCTGAACATTAGTAAAAGTCACATCTTTAATGAAAATGAAATTTACTTATCGTAAAAAATTAAGTACATGTGTAAGAGGTATTTCTAACTAGTATTGAACAATGTATGTGAAAATGTCAGATGTACTTAATTCACTACAAAGATTTTGTTTTGTTTATCATTTGTCTTATTTTAAGCATCTTGTATGCATTATTTTTATCAACAAAATATTTATTTAAGTAACCTTCATGTATACATGAAATGCTGTGAAAAGTGAATCATTCAGTTTGAATTTTGTGTCAAATTGCAATCAGACTTATGTGGAAGATGTTTATTCTGAATAATCTGATGCTTCTAGATCTGAAAAGTGTTAATTCTTTCAATATTTGGAATTAGTTTTGGTATATATATATATATATATATATATATATATATTATATATGTTGAGAAAGCCAAAATAATGCAGTTGTTGAAGGTGAAAATTGTTAACCAGTTTTATATAACAACTGTGTAAATTGATTAGAAAAAATTACCATTTTAAAATGGAAATCAAATTTATAATTGTAACATTATATAATAATGTGGCTCTTAAAGGTGCTGAAACTTAACATGAGTAATTCAAGAGAGATTCAACATGCTGCATACAAAGCTTAAAGCTCAAGCACATACAAGAATGTTTGTGTGGAAAATTTGTCACTCTTCTCACATATAGAAATTTCCAAGGAATTACTGTTATGTACCAACTTTACTAAATTGTTACATGATATGTATCTAGGAACATAGATTACAAATTCTATCCTGTAATCATAGTGAAAAATCAAAGAAAGTAAAATACTGGTGTAATTAATATAAAGTATTACTGAAGTTTCCTTTACCCCTTAATCTGATGCACAGAATTTTTGCTATTCAAGGCTATTCAACATTTTAATATTTTAAATCTGATCATTTACTAATCATACATAGGTATGCCAAAAAAAAAAAAAAAAAAAAAAAAAAAAAAAAAAAACAAATTGTATGAAGACTGTTGCTATGCCTTAGAAGCTCTGTTCAGTGCTTTCAAATAAGAATGTGTGCACTGTTGGTGCAACCATCAATTCAGTGTATATTGATACCACCATTTAGTGACATTTAGTTAACTGAATATTTAACTTTACATTATGTCTGTTCTGAATTAGTGTTACGAATTATTCTTATTTTATGACTTCAGATTGCCTGCCATCCAGATCTGAAAACTTATTTTTCTTGTCTTCAGTATTTTGCTGTATGAACAGATTTTAAATGTTCATTTTGAGACAAGAGATTCAATTTATGTTCAAAGTTATGGTCTCAAGTTGCTGACTGTGATGTGTTTGTAAAAGCAAAATATGCTTTTTGTGAAAATATTTGCTGAATGTTCAAGACATGAATTTGTTAGTTAAACAAGTGAATCTTGCTGGTGATTTTAAGAACAAATTGGCAATGTCATCATCTTAAGTTGCAAACTGGAAGCCTGTTCATGAAGACAGAGTGGACTTCATCTGCTCATAATCATCAAGTATTTTTGTATGAGATTAAGCCATGGTCATGACTTTAAGCTATAATGTTTCTGAAGAAAGAATATATTTCTTATTCTTAGTGTTTCACTAAGAGATCAATGCGAAATTATAAGAAGAGAGAGACAATTAGTTATATTGTATGATCAAGGCATGATCGTGAACTTGAGCTGAAAACATCTTATTTTCAAGAGGAAATTTTCTTCTTATTCTTTGTGTTTATTCATATGACCAAGATAGGCTTATTGCCAGATAAGAGAGATATATTTGCATATATGATACACGATCAAGGCATGCAAGTTTCTAACTATCCTGTTTGTAAAGTCAGAAAATTCAGTATTTAACTCAATATGTGAGTTTGTCATGAGATAGAAGTTACACATTCTTTTGTGTATTCAAAGTTATATCATGAGCTTAAATTGCAGAGTATTCTATTTGTGAAGGAGTGTGCTTTTTCATTTTTAGTGTTTTCTGTGTGATGAAGACATAATCTTAAGTTTCAAGACTTTTTTGCGTATGGATCCAGAATGCAATCTTTGTGTTCAGCACTGACTAATCAAGATGAAAATTAATAACGAGACAAAAATAATTTCTGTGTGGTCAAAACATCATTATCATAAATTGCCAACTGTATCTAGTTATGAAGGTAGAATGTGCTTCTCATCTTCATGTGTCAAGATCATCATCATGTGCTCAAGATGTGACTTCATCGGGAGATAAAGAGAAAGATGTGTGATCAAGGTATGATCCTCATCTTGTGTTGGAGGTGTTAATGTTTTCATACAGATATTCATTTACTGTGTGATAAAGCATGGCCATGATCTTGTGTTTCAGGACAGTATTTTGCTGTATGATCCAGACGTAAGTTTATTGCAAGACAAGGAAATAATTTTTCAGTGGTCAAGACAGTTTATTACCATAGATTGCCAGTTGTATCTTCAGTGTAAAGTTTGATTATACTCCTTCTCTTCAGTATTTTACAATTTGATCAAAACATGATTTAACTAAGCCACACAAGGGACATATTTGCTATGTGATAAAGCATAATCATGAACTTGAATTTCAAATGGTATCACTTTTGGGAAGGTAAAATGTTCAAATAATATTTTACCTTGATTTGAATTACAAAACTTGAGTTCATCATGAGGTGGAGAGACATTTGCCCTGTTCACAAGATGTGCTGATGACCTTAATTTGTCAAACTGTATCCTGTTTATGCCATTGGAGTAGATTCTTCATTGTTTTGTTGACTGAGTACATGAAGATGGAATGTTCTTCTTATCCGTGGTGTTATGCTATGTGATTAGACAAGATAATGGTCATAAGTTGCAATCTGTTTATGAAGCTATAAGATGTTTCATGTTCTCAGTATTTAACTGTGTGATCAAGATCCAAATTCATTGTGTGACAAGGAAATAAGTTTTGTGTAGTCAAAACATCATACATAGGTATGCCAAAAAAAAAAAAACAAATTGTATGAAGACTGTTGCTATGCCTTAGAAGCTCTGTTCAGTGCTTTCAAATAAGAATGTGTGCACTGCTGGTGCAACCATCAATTCAGTGTATATTGATACCACCATTTAGTGACATTTAGTTAACTGAATATTTAACTTTACATTATGTCTGTTCTGAATTAGTGTTACGAATTATTCTTATTTTATGACTTCAGATTGCCTGCCATCCAGATCTGAAAACTTATTTTTCTTGTCTTCAGTATTTTGCTGTATGAACAGATTTTAAATGTTCATTTTGAGACAAGAGTTCCAATTTATGTTCAAAGTTATGGTCTCAAATGATAAAATATTGCTTGAATGCTTCACTTTTCAGCTAAGTTGCATTACATGGACATGCATTACATTACATTACCTACAGTTTTCTATGTATCCTGCTTGGAAAGGTGGCATATACTTTTCATCTGCAGTATTTTGCTGTATAATCAAGACAAGACTTTATTAGAAGATAAGAAATGTATTTGTTATGTGATTAAAGCATAGTTTTGTGCTTAAATCGTGGAAAGACAACATTATGGAATTACTTTTTATCAATACATAATTGACTTTAAATTACAGACTCAGTTCTATTTTTGAAGCCAGAAGTCTTCCATTGTAATGAAAATACGAGTTCATCATAAGGCAAAAGAATAATTTCTGTTTTTTAAGGCATGAATGAATGTTTCTGAAGTTACAGACTGTATCCTGGTTAAGAAACTAGAATGTTTTACTTAAAACATGCTTTTGTTGTGAGTTTTAAAGAGATGCATAGGCAGATTTATTGCAATAAATCATAACATTATAGCAGATTTGTTGCAATAAATTGTAATGTTATAGAATTACTTGTTATCAATACATGATTGACTTTTAAGCTGCAGACTTTCATCTGCCTATGAAACCAGAATGTTCTTCATGTCCTCTGTTTTTTCCAGTGTGATCACAATAAGAGTTTATCATAAGACAAGAAAATAATTTCTGTTGATAAAGGGTTTTCATAAGTTACAGACTGTATCTTGGTTATGAAGCTAGAATGTGCTTCTCACCCTCACCTCTCACTAATTTGCTGTGTGCTCAAAACATGCCTTCATTATGTATGTCAGATTTGTTGCAGTAAAGTGTAACATTATGGAATTACTTGTGATCAGTGCATGATGGACTTTAAACTATAGACTATGTTCTATGTGTGAAGTGAGAATGTTCTTCATGTTTTCTATATTTTCCAGTGTGATCAAAATATGAAATTATCATAGACATGAAAATTTTTTCTGTTGATAAATGTATGGATCTTTCTTAAGTTACAAACTGTAGTCTGGTTATGAACCTAGAATGTGCTTTTCAGACTCAAAATTTTGCTAAGGCATGCCATCATCATGAGATATAAGAAAGGCATGATGAAATTTGTTTCAATAAAGTGTAATATCAAAATGTGAGTTCATCATAAGACAAGAAAATAATTTCTGTTGCTAAAGGTGTGGACCTTTTGTAAGTTACAGATTGTATCCTGGTAATGAAACTAGAATGTGCTCAGCCCCATTATTTTGCTGTGGGCCCAAGGCATGCTTTTATCACGAGATAAAAGAGGAGCATAGGCAAATTTGTTGTAATAAAGCATAACATTATGGAATTACTTGTGGTCAGTGTAAGCTTTAGACCACGTTCTCTTTATGAAGCCAGAATGTTCATATCCTTTATATTTTAAAGTTGATAAAGGCATGGACATTTTTAAATTATGGACCGTATCCCAGTTATGAAGTAAGACGTGCTTCTCAATCGGAATTAATTTGCTGTGTGGCTAAGACATGCCTTCATCATGAGATTAAAGAGATGCATTTGCTGTGTAATCAGAACATGATTGTGAACTTAAATTGCAGAATATAGTTTTTTTCACTCAGCATTTGCTTTCTGATCAAGACATGATCCTGATCTGAAGTTACAAAAGTATAGTCTATTTATGGATCCAGTTATGTTTTGTATCACTAATTTTCTGTATAGTGTTTATCATGAGACAAGAGAATAATTTTTTTGCAGTCAAGACATGGTCATTACTATTAAATTTTGATTGCATTCTGGTTTGGAAGATTGAATATGCTTCACATCGTCAGTATTTTGCTACTTGATCAAGATATGAAATAATCATTTTATGAGAAAACTACATAAGCGGTGTGATCAAGACATGATCATGATCTCGAGTTGAAACTATATACTGTTTTTGAAAATAGAATGTTATCTTCTGCTTAGCAACTTATAAACAAAATAAAAATTCATCAGGAATTGGAGAGTCATTATTCTATCATTCAAGCATATTCACAATCTTAAGTTACTGAATGTGTATATAATATAGTAAGTTTCTCATTTCTGTATTTTCCTTGTGGTCAAAATTCAAGACCTGAAATCTTTGATAGATTTCCGTGATTTGAGACATGATTATAAAGTTACGGTTCTGTCTTGTTTATGACTGAATGTACATATAATCCTTTATGTTTTGCTGAGTAAACAAGACAAGGTAATGATCTTAAGTTGCAGATTCTGTTCTGTGTATGAAACTACAAAGTGCTTCTTATCATCTATCATGTGACAGGAAAATAACCTTTGTGTAGTACGTTTTGTAAATACTCTTTTTGGGAGGATAGGATGTGCTCAACATCTATAATAGTATGCTTCTCATCTATAAAGTTTTGCAATGTAATCAAGACAGGATTTGAGATGAAAGAAGTGTATTTATTGTGTGATCAAAGCATGGTAGTGAGCCTAAATTATAGTCATATGCTTCCAGTTCTCAATATTTGCGATTACGCTCGCAGCAAATTTAATGCACTAAAATCTTGTTTATTATGTTACATAATGGAATTATTTAAGATTAAAACATGATAATGTAATTAAGCTGTGGACTTGATTCTGTTAATGATGCCAGAATGTGCTTCATATCCTTTGTACTTTTCAGTATCATTGAGACATGACCTTTAAGTTGTAAACCTTATCCTGATTGTAAACCTTACCTCTGATGTGCTCCTCATTCTTAATATTTTGCTGTGTAATCAAGGTCATCATGAAGTTCAAGATATGTATTTGCTATGTGATCAACCCACAACTGTGCTTTAACTTGCAAAAAGACAGACTGCTTTCTTATACTCAGTGTTTGAGCAAGACATAATTATGATCTAAAGTTCCTGATTATTTTTCGCTTGCTGATATGAATGCATTGAAATTTTCTACTTGTTTTATTCATTATATTTTTATGTATCGATAGCATTTTTATGCTGATTTTTAGTGTACTAATGATAGTAATGTCTCAATGCAAGTGAAAAAACATTGCGATTTCTTCATTTTGTAAGTATGATTTGAAAATCATTTATCTTGAATTATCGACATTATTGACTAGGGTGAGCACTGCTATCAACAAGCAAGGCCTTCATTATTTCCTATCCCGTATGGCAAAAATGTTGAGCATTTTCTTCTGGTTAATATTATTCTGATTTTAACCAGCTAATTTATGTAAAACATGTGTTTGGATATAATGCATTGTCCAACCTATTGAGATAATTACTGCACATCTGAATGGCTGTATTTAATTTTTCAGTGTGCAATGAAAAGTATCTTTCAAGTTGTAGAATTTTCTCATTACAAAGATGTCATACATTTGATTGGAAGAATATGCAAATTTCTTCAACCGCATACGGAAGTTATGATTATTCTGTTAAGTTTCAGTATATATTAAACATGCTAAATTAACAAGATTATTTTTCATATTGTGCTTAGTAACCTATGAATGTTGGGCTGTAGACTGTTTCTGTAGTCAGTTAATATGATGTACCTCAGACCAGCCAAGCTATATGAATATTTGGTATATGGTATATAGAGTATATATTAATACATTAATTTTTTTAAATTCTGATATTGTTTTGATATACAGCTAAATACTGCCGCCATATCTTGGTCTTCATTACTTCATCATCATTTACAAGTGGGATTTGATTACAACTATTGACTTTTTCTTAGATTCCATAGCAAATTTTCTAATATGCATATTCTGCAAGTTTAAACATAATTCAAAATATTTCTGCACTAGACGGGAATGATAAAATATTGCTTGAATGTTTCACTTTTCAGCTAAGTTGCATTACATGGACATGACACACATAAAGCTCTGTCTTAATGCATAATATACATTAATTTATCTTTGGCATAAAGGAAACTTTCAGCATCAGTGTCATTGTTTGTTATTTCAAATAAATCATTTTGTTGAAGCATCTGTATTGACATAAAATATGTAGAAAACATAATCGTGTTATTTTCACTTTAAAGGCAAATCATTTTCCCATTAGCTGTGTGGCTACAGGTGTTTTGAACATGTTTCTTATTAAATGCATCTGACTGTTTCACATTTAATATTTCCTTATGTAATAGAGCTAAATTTTACTCTTAGTATTTGATGAATTCTTTATGTAATATTCCATAAAGTATCTGCTACAGTCTTTAGTTGAAGAATTTTTTTCATAATTTATAAGTATCTTTAAAGAAAGATACGACTTATAATAGATAACTCATTGCCTTACAAATCTGATGTGTGTGGGCTTTTTTTATATTAAAATTGCTAATATTGTGAATTTTTATAAAATATTGTCAAATTACTCTTTTTGAGCAAGCTAATAGAAAAAGATGCTATGTATTTCCACTTCGTTCTTTTACTGTGCCATGATATTATTAGCACTGTAGACACTGTCTATTCATGTCAAACTTTGTTCATAAAATTCATGCCAGTTTTATTTCATGCCTTATACCTGAACAGCCATAAAAATTTAAATCTATAAATATGAGTTTAATTATTATATTGTAAATAGTGTAAAATTTGTATTATAACATATTTCATCATATCTGTATATAAGATGCATAATAAAAATACTTGCATATATATGTGTGTGTGTGTAAGGTTAATTATTGTAAGTATTGAAATATTAAAATTTTCTATAAAAAAGAAAATTCCATTATATTTCTAAATTTTCATGAGTACATTTTGGATTATTAATGCTTTTTAATAGAAGCTTAAGAATAATAAATCTTTTCAGTAGAAATTCTAGATCTGGGATATTATTTTATTAAACCCTGAATGGAAAAGAAATTTGCAATAAGTTATGTGTATGGTAAAGTGAAAAGTAAAATTCACATTCTTGTATTGAAAATGTTAAATTAAGTATCTTTATATGATAAGTATTTCTAAAATTTTATGTGAATGTCAGTGGAGAAAAATATTTTGTATGAGCGAATATTTTCTTTTATGTTGAACAGTAGCATAAAACATTTTTAGAAATAGGTAATCTAATACTAATATGATATGCGATGAAATTTGTAGGATTAGGCTATTCAATTATTTCAAAGGACTATTTGCCTAAGTAAAGGGAAGACTATGGCGAAAAGTTTCTATGTTGCTTACTGTTTACCACATTTTGCTGACTGTGTGTAGGTTTTATCTGGAATTTAGTATTTTTTCTTAAAACCCTACCAAATTTTTTTTGATGCTTTATAGGTGTACGATTCATGCATTTTTTCATTTGCTTCATGGGAATAGTTAAGTGTACATTATCTTTTCTGGAAGTTTAGTAGAAAACAGATTTTCGGGCACTGCAGGCCTTGACCCATTAGGGCTGTTATGCCACTGAGTTTATTTGTTTTTATTATACCGGAGAGGGCATGGGTATTTGTAAGTGCATGATGTCCTTGGGCACTTAAGATACCATTGAGTCAAAAGTTCCCTTAAGAGACTGTTGGAAGAAGAGTTATGAGGTCCTCTTTTAAAATTGGAACCGAGCTGAGCAATTTTTTACTGTTCTCTGTGAGGTTACTTAGCCAACAACAAGCGCAGCTCTGCACAATTGGCTATGATGAATTCATGGACTTGATTTGATGTTGCTTTCAAACAAGTTGGATAAGTCACTGCCACTATTGTACCACACACACATGTATTTGGTTTGCAGCATCAAGAAAATGGCTTCAACTCCATGTTTGTATGCATTTTTATTCAATTAGCCATTTCATTTGAAACAACAGGTAGAAAATTTAACAAAATAGATATTTTGAATTATAATGTATTGAATTTGAGGTAGCTTTTTGTGACAATTCTTTAGCAATTCATACTGGATGTTTAATATTTAATTTTCTTCAGCAATGTGTTAGCAGTGTTTCAATTTTAATTTACATCATCATCGATATCGTATTGCTATCTTTGTTCATTCATATACACCATTTGCACTACAGCAGGCATATATATATATATTTCTTTTTTCCTCTATTTGGCGTGAATTTAAATTGGTAATTATGGTTTTGTCTCATTTACCGCATTTCAAAGGAGAAACGTTAGCTAATTGTCACTTTTAATATAGAAATACGGTTTTCAGGCCATCTGCAAATACCTTAATGGGGGCAAGTTCTAGCGTGTGTTCAATAAAATCAGGAAACTATCAGATAACGATCTTTTTCGTTGTTGCTTACTCACTGTTATGTATTTTGTATTCTGGTATGCTTTAAAAAAATCATTTACCATTGAAACTTTTCCTGGAGTACCCTGTTAATGTCACAGTGTTATAGTAAATTATGATACTTTGCCCATCGCTGACAGAATGTGCCGAAAACAGACAGAGAAATGCTTGGCAGCCTGTGTCGGAAACCACCCGGAGTAACATCGTTAGGCGGAGTGTCCTGAATTTTAGGTACGTTGTTGGCTATTGATTATTTATATGTACGCTTTTATTTAAATCGCTTTAGAGGCAGGGGAAAAAAAATCTAGTGTTATATCGTAGGGAGATGAAGCCAGCTACCGACTTTTCAAAATGTTGCAAAGACGGACCCTTTCTATTTATGGATTAAACATTCTAAGTTGTCCACTGAACATAAAAATTCATTCAGGTTACTTCCTTTTTTACATTAGAATTCTCTGATTTTAAGAACACACTGTATGTGTAAGGCATAACGGATATGCTTGACTTTATACTGGCAATCAAAGTATATTTTGCATCATTGCTTGTGCATCAGTTGGACCAAGTTCATGCATAGTTCTTAGCACTAAAGAAAGCGTAAAGGACATGCAAGACTTCATTAACACTGGAGGGAAAATCTAAAAGAATAAAAATGAGTGAAATATAAGTATTAATGGATAAAATTCAAAGAAATTTGTTATTTGGATAACATGACATCAAAGAATTCTAGACTATTCCTCCTTGCCATAAAACAATATGTAAATTCCTGCACCTGAACTCTTTGACATCTTGATGAGAATATGCCAATGTAAGTTTAAATTCTGAGTGAAAGGATTCTATGAGGAATAGAGTTTATGTATGGATGGTAAATATGTCTTTCAGAAATCAGATGAATATGGGGATCTGTCGGGAAGGTAGGAGCTCGACAGAAACAGCCGCAATGTCGTAAAAATCTAAAAGTGCTCAAAATTTCCTAAATTCTGGAAATGATTTAAGAGCGAGGGTAATGTATTTAGATGTTAAGCACAAGACTAAAAATGAGCCACAGCTGCTTTTATAGGCTTGTTTATTGGATATAACAACCAAAAGGAACAAACAAATAAATACTTCATGAATCAGAAGGACTTTTCCATAATTACGGAATTTCCAATATCCTGATGCCCTGCATGTGAAATGCTTCATAAAAGAAAGTATCTATACAAGGAAAAGAACGAATTCCACTAATACACAGCATGCAAAAGCACTGAACTTGGTGCTTCATTGACCTGAGCTTAATTCCCTTCATTGGGAAAAAAATGTTTCTTTTGGGATTTTTTTCTAAACATAGTAACTGTCTGGAGAATGGCAAACATAAGCACTATCCCAGAATAATATTCTTGAAGGAAATGGTGGAATAATGATCTGGTCTGCACTGACTTGGACATCTGTATCAGAAGCATCATGACTGCGCAAACATACCAAGAACTTCTTGATTCCTGTGCGACTGCTTTTAAAGTTTCAGTTGGTGAAAACTTTTTCTAAGACGATAATGTAAAATAACAGCATATTGAGGAAGATTAAGTTCGTTCTAACTGCGCTCTTTGGGTGTCATCATCAAAAGTCTTTCATATGGCGTAGCGTGCATATACAGGATTCAAAGCCGATTGAAGATGTACGACATGCACTAGGACATCAATTCATCCCATACCTAAGACTGTGCAGGAAATTCAGACCGGTTCGAAAGAAGTAGAATAACATTCACAATAACTTAACTATACGTTTCATATAGCGCTGGCGTGAAGAACTAACAAGAGTCGGGTTCTGCAAAAAGCAGCTAGGAATGGCCGACATAACGGTAGTGAATTGGAACAATTATCTCCGGGAGATCTGATACTTGAAATAGCGGCAGCAGAAAGGAGAAATCACGGCTTCGAATGCATTATCTTTGCGTCCTGTGAACATGCAACGAAAGCATGTTCACGGGACGCAAAGATAGTGCTGGAAAAATGTTGCTTCCACAGTGGATTTTCGGAGGCATTTGTCGTGAAACGTGCGAAACGTTTCTTGTAATTGTCTCCGATCTTACTGCCGCGATTACACAGCACACTAATGAGCGAAAGTAAAAAGAACATTAAAGAATGAACGATCATTTTTCCGACTGCTGGAAAGGGTATGAAACAGAAAACTTGAGCAATCTGGGTATGTCCATTGTAAATATGATTTCGTCGATTCTAAAATGGCACACACACTCAAAGAACGCGTACGGGCAAGTGCTAAATAAGCGAGGAGAAAAGCACCGTAGAACAGCTCGCCACCACCTCTAGTTCTACCTCGCGGTGTTTCTTTTGGAGGAAAAGATACACTGCAAATAATATGTTCAATGACGTCCTAAAACCAATCGCTAAACATTGTCCCCCAGAAACTAAAATGTGACTATATTCGCCAATGGTGTGGGCTCCGAAAGAAAGAAGGTCTAATTACAATATTACAATTACTATATTTCCTGCATGCCCAGAACTGAGGCATATGTCAAACTCTAAAAAAGAAGATTCCAAATCTTTCATTTTAGTTCAGATTTATTAATGCTTACATCTGAAACCAAAACGAAAGCTACAACTCAAAACAAATTCATGGAATACAGATAACGTTGCCACACAAAAAAAAATAATCATCAAAAGTCTTTCGATTTAATTTTCGTTTTCAAGAGTTACGTCGTATTTCATGGAGCTCGTAATAGTTTTTCTTTACAGTGTGTAAAGAACTCATAACGTGAAATATATTACTATTATACAAATAAATAAATTTTTAATTGTTATGCTCAATAATTTACCACTTTTAATCTGCAACAAAATCTAAACTGATATTCATAATGACTGGCCGTTGACGCAGGTTTGTGAAGTGGTTATTAGTGTCTAAGCCACTCGTTTTGAAAATTAAAACTGAGTTTATGAGAAAAGATAATTGTGAGCACAGCATAAAATTTGAACTAAGTATAAACAGAACGAACATTCAAACGAAAACAAAAACAGTTTTCTGAACTTAAATATTATTGCATTTATATATATTAGTTTAAACTTCAAGATATCAGTTTTTTTTTTTTTTTTTTTTTTTTTCCTTTCTTAGACCGCATTTACGCGCTGTCATGTGATGTCAGGCATTTTTCGGAAACTATGAGTGATAGAATTGCATGTCTATTCAAATCGGAAGCGGAAGACATGTTTGATACCAGGATATCCTAAAAAACAGAAAGCAAATTGACTTTCTATGAAGAAATAAATAAAGTTTGGCTGTTGACAAAATCAATGAACTTGACCAGTGTAATATGAATAATCAGCTTACATCAGCTTTTTTATATAGATATATTAATGTGGCAACAACAGGTAAATAGATATTCTAATAAAGTAAATATTTATTACATCTATTTCCTACCAACATATGAAACATAGATTTTGAAGTTTCAAAAGATACTCAGCTTAAATAGCAGATTTCAAAAAATCCGATTAAATGTTTGCTGCATTTTAAAAGCTGTGATTGCTCCGAACCTTGAAGTCCATTTGCAATGCTGCATTTAATAAGTAAGTCAAAATAATCTATAATGTAATTTTTTTTTTTTTTTTTTTTTGGTTAGAATTTTTAAATTAAAGGAGATAAAATTAAATGGTGCTACTTTGGTAGACGGTTGCACGGATTTTTGGCGATTTACGTTGGCGCAATTGTTGGCGCGATTTTTACAATCGTCAGCCATCTTGAAAAACGCTGTTTTTACGCATAGTAAAGTATTCGAAACTTGAAAAAAATAAATATCGTTAAAAAAAATGGATTAATTTTTTGTTGAAAATGTCGTTTTTTAAGATGGCAGGCAAGTGTAAATAAATACATTTACTATGAGTATAAAATACTAAAGTAAGGCTATTATTACTTTCATATAGCAAAAAAGAGAAAAAAACACCGCTATAAAAAATCATTGCGCCAACGTTTAATTAGATTAAAATATTACTGAAATTGAATATCGAATTAAAACCCATCCTACCAACATTTAAAAGAATTAGAATATTATTAAATTCAAATACTTTAAAATACGTTATATAGAATATAATTAACATTAAAACATATGTGACAATAATTATCTCAGCAATTTTTAAAAATAGTGTATTAATTTTTTTAACAAAAATTGAAGTATACAATTATAAAATAAAAGAAAAATATGTACTTACATTTTTTGAATCATTTAATCCTGTTGTTTATTGATAAGTACCACAAAAAAAAATCGGAATCATAATTTAGATATCAATGAAAAAATTTGAAAAATGTAATATCAAGGGCAGGAATAAAAAAAATTTAAAAAAAAATTATAAATAGATAAAGCAATTTAGAGCCAAATTAATGGATCATGAAGATTAAAAATAACAAAAAAATTTGAAAAAAAAATCCAATAATAGGTATTGTTTTTAAGATTTCGAAGATCCTTTAACCGCCCCTCCCTGAAGTATATGCCAATCTTCCCAATCTATGTCTCTAATAATTTCGAGAAATTTAACATATGGATGCTCATTCAATGCAGAGCAAATTTTCCTAAACAAATACCAGGCTATGTATCCTTCAAAATCTCCTCGACGATTGTAAACCGGCAAAGAATTTTTGAAGTCACGCCATTGTCTTTCAACTGTGTTGGTATGAGCTCCGGTTTCAGGATCTACGAAATGGAGCGAATGGTTAACTTGCAAGTGATTAAAACCTTCTTCGCTCAAACGGTCATAAGCTTTCCAGCAGTCCGAAATAATCTGGGTTCCCGGTTCGATCCAATCCTTAATTAAAGCGAGAAGAGTATCCGCTGTTCTGTCTGGCACAGCAACTAAAAAACAGCGACCTGAATCGCGCTCTATTCCCCCCAAAAACCCACTGCCCTTCAACGAATCGACCCTTGTTAAACTTTCGTTTTCCCGATTTTAGGACTCATCAATCTCCACGATTTTCCCTGGCCCTCCGATCTTCTCCGTTTTAGTTTCTACAAAATTAATTAAAACGTCCGTTACATAACTGCGCCAGTCGGCTACAGCTTCTGAAAAAATACCGAGCTCACATTGAATTCTATCGTACGAAGAACCCATGAATATTTCGTACACTAGAGCTAAAATGACAGCAATTGGAAGTTTACTGCCGGTAAAAAAGGAGGAATGTCTAATACTTTTTTTACCGTTACAGCGATTATTTCTTCCACCGTGACCACAATACCATATACGGCCATCCTCAGAATCGGCTTCTTTAACCATCTTCATCTGTGATCCACATTTCTCGCACTTCATTGAAGAAGCAATTAGCGAGGTTTCTTCCAAAAACTTAAAATAAATTTCCTCTAACCCTTGTAACAATTTGTAAACAAATCTTTGATTAGGAAAGCCAGGCTGGCCAAAATAAAGGTCTCAAAGGACGATTTTTTGATTCCGATACCAATAATTCTTGGCACTTACCAATAACAACATTCATCTTAGAGAGAGACATCTTTGAAGGAATTCCAAGAAATGAATTAAATTTTAAAATGGCGCGGAAATGCACAAATTTTCAGTAACCAATCAGGGAGCTGATTACAGCTCGTTAATGCACAAATATTCTATAACCAATCAGAGAGCTTATTACATCACGCCTAGAATTAAATTTGTTTAAAAATTCATACGTAATAAAATCATTTTTAAAAAAATGCAAAATTAAATTGTATTTTAATATTTAACAGCCATAAATATTAATTCAGAAGTCAAACAACAAAAATCAGCGTTATATTTACCAAATTTTCACAGGACTAGTTTCGATGGTTTTACCGAACCACCATCTTCAGCTGCAAAACCGCAAATGAACCAGATAGGAAATAATGATTAGATAAGATAAGAAAGCCTGGACAAGAATAAGCAAGTGGCGCCATCTGTTGGTGAAACCAGAACTAAAACATAATTTCTTTAAAGGCCGAAGGCAAATTTGGATTGGAATTAGGATCGTTAACTAGAACAGAAAGATTTTTATGAATGTGAAATGCCTCTAGAAAATCCAGTTCTCCAATGGAAGATGTTTTTTGAATAATTTTGGCAGCAGAAAAACTGAAAGTGTGGTTTTCGGACCAACAATGTTGAGCAACAGAAGACTTCTGTGTTTCCTTTTTTCTAACATATGCCTCATGTTCCTTGACGCGAAATTTTAAGGCTCTCTTAGTTTGGCCAATGTAAATTAAACCCACACTGGCAAGGAATCCTGTAAATACCCCAGGAATTCATATCCGGAATGGGGTCCTTGAGTAGGAACTCGGAATTTTATTGATGGGAGAATAAACAACCCGAAAGTTAAATTTCTGCAAAATATGTGCAACTTTATAGCTAATTGATGGAAAGAAGGGAATGAAAACAGAATTTTTATAATCTCCTAAAACAAGAGTGTGCCTTTTAGTGTGTTGAGATGAGAATTTTTTAACTGCTTGATTAATAATGTTGGGTGGAAAGCCCCTGTCAATAGCTATTGCTTTTAAATAATTTTAGTTCTTTCATCAAGGGCTAGTTTGGAGGAGCAAACTTGAAGAGCACGGAAAACATAGGAATAAAATGAAGCTAACTTTTGTTTAGTCGGATGACATGATTTAAAGTGTGGTGGAAGGCAAACCGATGAAGGTTTACGGTAAACCGTAGTACTGAAAGTTGGATGTGTTACGTGTGACCAGAATGTCGAGAAACGGAAGAGAATTGCAAGTCTCAAGTTCAAAAGTGAACTGAATGAATAGCAGGATCAATAGAATTCATTGTTGAAAGAACTTTATTTAAATCATCTTTATTACCTTCAAACAGAGTAAAAGTATCGTCTACGTAGCGGAACCATGCCGGGAAGTTTAAAGTTTCAAACAATTTTGATTCATAATAATGCATGTAGATATCAGCCAGGATGGGACTGAGGGGCTTCCCATGGCTAATCCCTCAGTTTGATTGTAATATTTATTTTGGAAAACAAAATGTGTTTGTTTCAAACAGAGTTGAGTGAGAGAAATTAGCTCATCAATTTCGATGCAAGAGAAATGAAATTCGCGAAGTCTGGTTTCTAGACATCTTAATGCACCCTCCACTGGGACATTGGTGAATAATGATTTTACATCAAAAGAAACCATGAGTAAATTACTAGGAGAAATGTTTTTAAATTTTTTTTACAAACTCTATTGAATTTTTTATGGTGTAAATGTTATGTCTAATAGAGTGGAAAATCTAGAAACTAAATATTTAGCTAATGGATACGAGGCAGTACCTAAATTTGATACAATAGGGCGGAAAGGAATACCACTTTTATGAATTTTGGGAAGAGCATATAATCTGGCACAATTCGCAACAGATGGGATAAGTGAATGTTTTAAGTTGCCTGAAATGATTTGCGAAGATTTGATCGCAGTTTTTTTTTTTTTTTTTTTTTGACAAGTCCGAAGGTGAAGGATCTTTAGGGATCGGATTATATGGTCCTTCGTTTAAGAGTTTAGTGACACCATCGATGTAAGTGTTCCTATCCATGACGACAATCTGGCCACCTTTGTCGGCCTTTGAAATAATAATATCCGGGTTAGAATGAATTTCACGCAATGTAGCTCTTTCTCTCGCAGTTAGATTTGGTTTCAAAGGTTTATTATTGAATTTCACATTATGAGCGATAAGATGCCTAATCATTTCTTTCTGTGAATCTGAAACTTTACTGAACTTGAAAGCTTTTCGATAGGAGCCAAAATCTTTGGAATCGAGGGTTTACAGGTTGTGAGAAGTTAAAATTATATTTTAGAATTCTCTCTTGTTCTTCTGAAAGACTAACATTAGAAATATTAACTATTGGCTTGAATGTTTACAATGGGAAGATTTTTTGAACTACTTGAACTGGAAGACTTGTAAAAGAAGTTTTTCGAATTTAACTGCAAGAGTGTTTTTATGACGGTTTAACTGCATTCTCCGTTCTAGACCAAGACTTTTGTTCAAGGGCAGTGAATTTTGGATATGAATTTAGCGAGTTCCAGATGAAGCTTATAGAGTTCACGTTCAATTTTGGACAATTGTTGACGTGTATCCCTTATGACGGACCGAAGTAAGGCAAGCTTGCAATTTAACAGAATTCTTGAAACGCGACTCGAAGGTTTTTGATTAGATTTGATTTGAATAAAATTTGGGATCAATTTTTTACATTTACATTTAAGTAAAAAGTCAAGATGATTCAGGAATTTTTGCCGTTTCAGGCGTAATTTAGTGAAACGATTAACGGATGAAGGCATGATAAACAATACAGAAAATCAAGCTAAAGCACACACAAAACAGCAGAAAAATCCCTCACTGAAATTAATAGAAAACAAAACGTTTGTAAGCAAAATGCATGAAATCAGACAAGCAAAGCACAATATCCAAATATACAAAATATAAACATAACTTGAAAATTGCAAAAAAGTACTTACCGAAACTCATGCAATCACAAAATGGCGGCCACACCACGTGCAAAAAAGAAAGCAAAAAATAAGCCTGTTTGGGGCTTCTATAATTAAGACACAATAACACGCCGAATAAATACTAATTCAAGAAGTCAA